ATGTGGCTGTAATGGTAATGTCCAAGAATCAAATGCCTGTCGAGGCACAAGTAAAGCAACTAAATCTAGGCAGGTTCCTGGAATTCCACAACTTGTACCTACTTCTCAGTATCACAGTCAATGTCACTCCAAGGGTAATACCAGCTCAGGTGCATCAGGTGTGGATTTCAGTCCAAAAAGACCACAGTCTTCAAGTAATATACCTTCTTCTAAGACTGAAAAATGTGCTTCTGAATGTCATGACACTGTTGACCTATTCACGAACAAGGCTTGCACTCTTTCTCATACGAGGCAGGATAGTGACACTGGAATTATCCTTGACAGCAAGAGTTCCAGCTTGGCATCTGTAGGAGAATACGGTGAACGCATTCCAGGACCATATCCGCTACACTGCCCAGATTCCATACAAAGCAACAATAAGCACAGTATTCCCTGTGGTCTACATGACCCATGTTGTTACCAGCATGGTGATCATCCACAGTGTGCTTCTAGTAACTCAGGGGCATGTCATATAGACTCTGTTAAAGATAAACCATGTCAATTTTCCAATTTGACTTGCCTAAACACTGTTAAAAATATTTCTTCCAGCTGTTTTCACACTGCTAATTTCCTCAACAATCCAACATCCAATAATGCAAGCAGCACTAACCTGAGGCCACACTGTACTGCTGCTAATAACCCTTGTTGTGAGAGTCCTAGTTTGCTGCCTGAAAGGGACTGTTGTGGAAACACTGCAGTCAGTGGCCAGTGTCACCAAAAATGTAGCTCAGACGAACCCTGCATAGATCCCAATAAGAAAGAAACCAGTTGCTTGCCCAAGAAAACCTTTTCCACCGCTACTGATGCTTCTTTTGCGTATTTCGACAGTGCTGGGAACGCCAAGCCCTGGTCCTTGAGAAATGCACCTGATGGCTTTTGTGACACAAATGCAAAACATAAAACTATGGAGGGATCTTGCTTGCGAAAGCCCAGGCTGTTCCCTAAAAGTAAACATCAATGTAACCCTAAACCTCCGACTGCTTTTATGCCAAAGTTTGCCCATTCGAATCCACCTCAAGTGCAGCCCGTCGATCAATCAAAAGTCAATTCGGATACATCAAGCTCAGACTCCATTAAAAATAAAAATTATCAGTTGACCAAGACTCCCTCTTCCGACAGCGTAAAAAGCAATTCTTCCACTCGCTTTGACAATATTGTTTTCCCCCAAAAATGGCCTTTTAGGACTGGCCACAAAATATCTAGTTTGAAGCCACGCAGTGGGATTCGAATTCGTGCTGGTCACAAACCCAGTGTGTTCACATCAAAAAAGAACCGAGGTTCGAGAAGCTTTCCTTCGCTATCTGAATTACGCAACCTTAAGTTGACCTGCAGTATTGGAAAACTTCAGCTGTTTGATAGTCACATACACTTTGATGAAGACATTGATCCAGCACAGATATCCTCACAAACAATATCTACTGAATCTACAAGTACTTTTGAGCATGAACTACCTGAAGCTCCTTTCATATTCAAGCACACTGTGGATGGAACCTCTGCAAAGGTAGGATCTGCTTCATCCAAGTAGCTGTTGACAATATTACAGTGTTTAAACTTATACAAACACTCATGCCTTATGACCTTGTTGAAATCTTTCAAAGTACTGCACAGGTTTTGTAGAATCTATGGACTATGATTGTAGGTGAAAGATACTCACCAGTGTTCACCATTATAATACTTATGCTCATGGTTACCATTATTGTTTCCACTATTATTGTGTCCACCTTTCATCATGTTTTGCCCACAAAATATACAGTCAATTCATTTTAGAACATATTAAGTATATTTGATATACAGTGTATTTGAGATAGCTGTATCAAATGCAAGCACTAATATTATTATTATCCACCCCCATCATTGCAACTTGTTCATTGACATGTTTTTCTATAAACCCAATTTTAAGCATTAAAACTTCCGCTTGTTTAAAATAGGTAAGATGGACATTTCCCATGGAAGAACAAAGTGTAAACTTTTTTGAGCTACAGTTCCAAGAGATCGTTTCGATTGACAGAGAGATGGCTATACCCCAAGATCAAGCTGGAGTTTTCTCAGGAATCAGACACAATAACTTCACAGCCACCAATCTGAACTCCAACTCAGAGTATTTGTTTCGGGTTCGTGCGGTGAATGCAGCTGGAAAAGGAGAGTGGAGTCAACCTTATAAGGTACATTACGTTTACAAAGTCCTAGGGCTAACCTTTATTTTGGTGTGTTGGGCGGGGTGGGGCTAACAAAGTTAGTAAAAGACCTTCTCACCAAACCTGTCCATTTTCTGTTCAGCTACTATAAGTTTTATCCAATTCCTGCGCACGCCATGCAATTATTATTATTTAAGTATTTAAACTGTTTTTGTTTGTTTTGTCATAATTGTGATGACATTTTCTTATTTAGACACAAGGGCATTGCCTTTATAGTAAAGGCAATGATACTTTGGAGCAGGATTTACCGATGTTGGTATTTGTTTTACAGATTGTGACTGTGGGCGGCACAGAGCAATGTGATCCGGACACAGAAGACTCTGCTTCACTGAAAGGAGTTAAAGTTACCATCCGCAGAAGCAGCAAGAACTCTTTAGAAGATTAATGCAACTAAGTCGGAATTTTCCAAGTTTGTCTGAAGAATTTAGACAGAAGAAAGACAAACTGATACTGGCTGAATCTATTGGATATCAGAAAATAATATAACTTACAAAAACCTTTCTTTTAAATCTCTTCCCCCCACCCCCATAAATTTGATCTGTGTCTTCTCGGAAGCTAATACAATGCAGAATGTGGAATTCTCTACATAGATAGTCATGGCTTCTTTGTGGTTGGCTTACATAAGGTGGATTGGTATAAAATACAAAATTACATTTGTTGAACGCGTTTCGTGTCAGGGCGATGTCCCAAGGTGCTGGACAGTCAGGGATTTGGATCATTGATAAGATCTCATTTTTGTCTCCTTCATGATAGAGCAGTTTGTCATACAATGTTGTTCATATGGCTGTCTGGGACCTAGAACTGTCAGCCATAGTAGGTTGGTTTGAGTGATGTATATGCATCAGTGGAATGTGAACTTGTGGTTATTTGCTGAGAGTGTCAGTCTGTTGAACTATTGCATCGTGTTGCCTGACTTCCCCAGGATTTTACCACTGCATCCAAAGTTGAACGAAATCAGTACTTTGCCAAACACATAATGGTCCATAATCACTTCATAACAGGTGAAGAAATGATGCTGTACACAACGGTGCTGCAGACTTACCTGTCCTGATCAAGCTTGTGCCAATGTAATCATTACCCAAAATAATCTGCAGTGATTTAAACGGACTGTGTGGAGTGCATGAGATACATAAAGAATAAACAGCAAATTGTATAATTAAGGTTCTTTTGAAAATTAGTACTGTGTACTGCATTACATTGATGTCGTATTTGAATTATATTTTGCATATCCAGTATATATAAATTATATATACGTCTAATATAATTTCTGGAAAAGAGAGAGAAACTAATTTTTCAAGGCATTTGCTCAGTCAAAGCTATAGCAATACCCTATTCCTGATGTCTCAAGATAATACTGAGAGCAAATGAAGTTCCTCTACCTTATTGCGTATTGGTTCCAGATTTATTATACAGGCCTCAGGCAACTTTACAGCAACTGCATAGCTCACATTTACACTCCACTGACCACTGTAATGTGATTGTGATGATACAGGGGCTCTACAAGACCTGGTGTTGTGTAACAATTATAACCATATCAACGAAATCGTTTTCCTTTTTAATATTTTCCATACTGTAAACAAAGTTGCCAGACAATAAGGAGAGTACGGATATTTTACTGGATTGTTTATTCTTAATGTTACTGCAAGCCTTTTAACACTAATACATTCAACGTATGCACGATTAATTCTGAACTCACACCCCGACGTCCAGCACCTTGACCTGGTGCCACAACACAATATCAACAGTCTCACCTCCCAGTCGGTCACAGTGGACCGACACCACAGTTTTGGAACCGAGCGCAACTGAATCCTTTGACAGCTGATCCTAAAAACAATCATAATTTGGTCACTTCAATCCACGACTGTTTGTGGATTGCTCATTTTTGTAACCAACACTTCCCAGCCTGTAAAACAGAACAACCGAAAACATACTACCCATTTTTGTAGTCTGGACAACAGCGATTTCCACCACGAGAGATCCTCCCAAACTGTTGTGTCGAGCCAATCTTTTTCCCCTATCTTTATACCCCTTTACCACCTTTGGACATTGACCAGATATTCCCCTCTTGATCCTGCTATCTGTGTGAAACCTTTTTTTTGCTCAGTATTCCTACTCTAGTTAATCTATGTATTCTAAACAATACCCTTTCGGGTGTCATTGTTTTCCTTTTCTCAACTAAAATAGTGGTTCTCAAACATCCCATTCTTTCTTAAAGCATCTGATGTAAAACACCTCCTCCATTCAGCCCTGATCTCCCTTCTGTCTCGTGACCCATTGGAACTTGAGGAGTCAAGAAATGTCTCAGTTGATGTATTTAACTGAGTGTGTCTTCTCTTTATTGTCTACCCACGCTAATGTATTTCAAGCAACTGGTGCCAGCCTGTCCATCTTCCCATTTCGCTGACCTAGCCAGACTCTGCAGCCTTTTGATCACACTGATTTTAACTACATTAACACCTAGGTTTACGTGACCTAGGTTTGTATGCCTGTTCTATCCTTTCAGACAACTAGACTTAAATCTAAACCAACTGACCATCATTATTAATCTCTGTATGGTTAATGATAATCCATTCAGGATTAATCCAAAAGTGGAATATTGTAAAAAGTAGTGGATGTTTGTTTTCTTTAAGTATGGTTATTAGTAGTGTACAGTTTCTTAAAGAAACAAACATCCACTACTTTTTACAATATTCCACATTTTGGATTAATCCTGAATGGATTATCATTAACCATATAGAATTATTTACCATGGTACTAGTGGGCACAATGTATTCTAATTGTAACATCTGTTACGTGTTTTTCAACCGAATTGAAAACATTTTTGTAATTCAATCAGTGAACGGAAGGGAAGGTAGGTGGGTGAAACATAGGACATACATTAAGTGAATGTTAAGAAGAGAGAATGAGAGAGGAAGTTAACAATAAATCTAAAAGGAAACCACGACAAAGAAGTACATATGGACTTCAAGGGTCATTTTCACTGTCTGGTTGAACAAATGGATGCCAAACACGAGTCTTCCGAGGAGGCGTTAACGATGCAACTGTTTTAACACAAACACTTGTTTGGAGGGAGTTGTAACTGACACAGTGCATATCTGGGCGGTAAAGTCCTTAACATCTTCATTACTTATCGCTGCATTTTCTTCGAAGAGCTTTGTGATGTCACCCTGTCATTGTGATGTCCGGTCAGTCCAAGAGTGATTGTTATTCTCGAGGCGATTTCTCCGTCCAACAGGAGCTTTAGGAATAGAATTAGCTGCGAGTAACCGCCAGGAAATGAACGTACACAATGCAGTTGCTAGGCGTCGCTGTTTTGAAAGTCGCTGATCGCTTTCCGTCACATTTCAGCACACGATACACTTCACAATATGGCCGGAGCCTTTAGTATAGATTGGGTTTGTGCTGACAGTGAGAATGGCTCTAGTGGTATTTTCAATTGTCCTGTTGATTTCTTCTGAATGGTACGTTTCAGGGTTTTACCATTCCAGGTATGTGAGACGCTTTCGACTGGAGAGTTTCCATGAGCCAATTGAGCACTGGTTCGTCCAGAAAGTGAATCATTTCAATGTAGCTGATGGCCGAGTGTGGAACCAGGTGCGTTTCCAATGCGGGAAAAATAGGCACCAACTTTGTTTGCAAACACATCGAGTGGCGTAAATCGTAATCGTTTATTTAAAAAAAATAATCAGACCCCCCCACCCCCGCCCCCCATGAGAGTTATTGTTATAAACTGCTGGCCAAAGAGGGGTATGTACATAAATGACCATCTTTGCACTGTTGAAGGAAGAAGACAAACCGCAGTGATCAGTCTCCCTGGAAAGGGAATGTTCTTTACATCCATTATCATCCTAATTCACAAGGTCCTTTTGCAGCTCGGAGGTGCCAGAGCAAAGACAGGAACATCATCACACTTGCTGTGATTCTAAATGAAACACTGTCACAAGTTAGATGTTTGCGATCATTTTGGAGGATATCATTTGTTGCTCTTTTTATGTGTGTTTTGAGATTTTTGTTAATAAATATTGACAATCAATGGGTGCATAAAACTGGGAGGAAAATGTTAATGTTACGCGTACTTGGAGCAACAAAACCAGTCATTTGTTTGTTTTTCTTTTATTAAATATGCATTTTTCCCCCAGAGATTTTATATCAACGACACGTATTATAAACCTGGGAGTCCTGTCTTTCTGATGATCGGAGGAGAGGGGGCTTTAAACCCAACATGGATGGAGCATGGTACTTGGCTAACATATGCTAAAAAGTTGAATGCCCTTTGCATATTTCTGGAACATCGGTTTTATGGAAAAAGTTGGCCAACACAGTAAGTTTAAAATCTTCCAGTTTCTTTTAAAACTGGATTTCTTTTTGTCCTTTCTTCTTTCTATACGTCTGTCAAAATGAAAGAATAAATCCCGCCAGCTTTTTTTTTATTGTAAATTTGTTTCTTAGCAAGATATAAATATGATCCTTTTTTGTAATGTACCTGCACAATTTGGGGATTAATATCTGTGGTTAATAAAACAAGATATTTGAGTAACCCATGGGCGCAATAAGGCCAAAATTGTCTCAGTTTGGTAGCACTCTCGCTCACTTCAGTGTCAGAAGCCTGTGGGCTCAAGCCACGCATCAGGACTTTTGGGAAACTACGTTTAGAAATATGTGCTAGAAATTCATATTCCGACAATCACAACATTCTCAGCACAAGGGATGTCTGGTGACCTAATATGTTTTCAAATACTTTTTAATGTATTTTTCTTTTAGATTTCTGTGTTTTGATTGAATTTCGTCTCAAATGGAACCTCTGCTCTCTTAACACGGCGTCTTTTTGTTTTAAGGGACTTGAGCACAGCAAACCTCCATTACCTTCGCAGCAGCCAGGCTCTGGCTGATCTCGCCCACTTTCGAAATATGATGGGAGTCAAAATGAACCTGACACTAAATAAATGGATTGCTTTTGGAGGTTCTTATCCAGGGACCCTTGCAGCCTGGTTCAGACTGAAGTACCCTCACCTGGTCTACGGTGCAGTTGCAACCAGTGCTCCCATGCGCGCAGTGATCAACTTTACAGGTGAACACAATAATGGGAACGATTTAGCTCATATTATCTAAGTCATTATTAAATGTAGCGGGATAGTACTGGCGGGATTTTTTTTACATCAAAGATGGAAATCAAGTTCTCCTCTGTTGGCTTTTAGAGCCCCTGAGAGAGGAGCATTGGCATTTTTTGTTTTTTCATGAATCCACACAAAACTACCCATAATTTGGTACTGAACTGCCAATTATATTAGGTTGAGGCTACCTGCGCAAGAAATGGAATTGATTTCAAACTGCTCTATGTTGGTCGTATGCCTGATGGATTGCAACCTGAATATATGGTTTATGGGGCAAAGTATATTTTACTGTCCAAACATTTCAATTTGCTGTTGTAATGGATCTGTTCTTCACTGTATACGTAGGGTTCATTATGAAGGATATTTTGGGCCATACTGGCTTACAAAATGGAATGAGATGGATATCTAAAAGGAAGAAATTACAAGGATATGGAGAAAAAGCAGGGAAATGGGACTCAAGTGATTGCTCTTTGAAAGAGCAATGGGCCAAATAGCCTCTGTGCTAAAAATTTCTATGGTTCTATGTTGTGAGATTAATTCTGAAACTCATTTGTTACTAATTGAATCCATGTAACACACTGTCTAAACGAAGGTAGATAATGAAAGTATGTGGCTTTCTAACAAGTGGTTCATTTGTATATTTGATTTCAATCTATCTCTATCTATGTTCTCCGTTTTCAAATAATCTATGTAGATATAATCTATCTATCTATGTTCTCCACATATCTTTCTGATAGATTCAATTGAAGTTAATCTTTGGTTTCCCCAAAATGAGGATTTGTAGTTCACTGTAAGGTACAGAAATGTCCTCGAAAGCAATGTCAGGGTTTCTGTTCCATTATTTTTCAGAGTATCTCGAGGTGGTTTCGAATGCTTTGGCAGCCTATAGTCCCCAGTGCCCTTTACTGGTGAAGAATGCCTCGGATTCTCTGGTAAAGATGTTGAAAAAACATTCCTCCATCAAAAAGATATCGAAAGATTTCAAGTAAGTACAATGTCACAAAGCTGTAATATCCTTAAAGCATGGTTTATCAAAAACAATTCTGCCATAACTTACAAAGGCAAGGAACGCAAGTGTGCAGTAAGAGTAATCTGTTACCAGTCTAATTCCTTAAAGTCTCATCCAAAGGAAGTCACCTCTGACAATGCAGAGTTCCCCCAGTCCAGACTACGAGATCAAATAGTTATTTTATAGACAGTATATGTCCAGTGGGAATAGAATTTTATGCATACTGAGAATAGAACGTAACAGGATTTGGGGCGTGCAAATGGGATGGTAAAGCCAGCCATCCTTACAGATAAATGAGAACTCAAACAACTAAATGAACCTGTTTCGAAAACAACAATTACAGGAACGTCTTTTACTGAATGGCACAATTTATGCAATTGTGATCACATCACTCGGGTATCAGGATATTCTTCATTCCGCCAGGTACTTTTTTTCGCTTAACATTCATTGTCCAAATGTGAGTTTGCCTTTCAAGAACCACATAACCTTTCTCTGCACGGTGTAAGTGACATGGTTACAAATCAACCCTCTATTTGTCAGTGTTGCCAGCTCTTCTCTCTTCCGCAGTAGGAAAAGATGGTCTCGCTTTTTTCCTTAGCATTTCTGTCCGTTCTGGCTATCAGCTATTTTTGTTGCTTTTTCCAAAGTATTATATTTAAGAATTTTTTATAAAACACTGTTCCAGTTCTACCTTACTTCCTTGCCTCCTTCCCCGTGGTCTGTTGTAACAGTTTCCGCCAGCTGATCATCATTGTTTGTGTCTTTGATTTCCCACTGCTCATAACTTTCAAGATGTTTAGCTGACCTCATTTCACTATTAAGAGGACCTGTGGTCAAAGAAGGAAAAGAGGAAAATAATCCATCGGTAGGAGAACGACACTGCAATATGCCTCCCATGTAGCAGAAGCGAGTTGTTTGGCTTGTTTCCAAGCAAAACTTGAGAAAGCACAGCCTTCTCCAGGATGGAGAAGAAAGCAGTTTGATTTGGGCCAAAGACTTTTACCAAGCAACATGAAGTGGTGTGAAGCCCATCCAGTTGAGATGGGCTTCAAGCAGTCTCATGTTGCTTGGTAAGAATAACTAGAAGCTTTTCCCCCCCACAAGTCCCACAGTCCTTTCAACTTACATTTGAATGATCTGAAGGATAATGGCAACAACAGCTTAGCTTAAATTTGTTTCAAATCTGCTGTTTACAGTGTACCTGCAGCCCCAGGTTCTCAACATCCAGTCTTAGTATGTCAGCAGGAAAATAAAATGCGGAGTGTGGCTAACCAAAGCAGGAATGTAATTCCGTGCAATTATGCATTCGCAATGTCACAGATATACTTCAGCACCACCTCCGTTTCCTGCACATGGAAAGTACATTGCAGGCTGTGGGTAGAGAACGTTTATCCACGCCTGTACGATTAACAGGGTGGGAGATAAATTATTTTCCATTTTGCTGAGATTCTCTCCCACCAAACCAATGCATTATAATTTATAGCATGCTTGTTTTACGGGAATGTGGTTACAAAGCTGCAAAAGATGCCGGATAACTTTTTCCACTTTATTTTGTGAGTCACAAGCTGGACTTTAACTGGCTCTACATACACAATGCAAACTGTTACTTCATTGTGGTTTCTCCTTTTTTTATATTAACCAATTATCTGCAAAAGTAAAGTTTGTTCAGTGTTTTGTTTCTGTAAAAGGTCATCTAGCAATTGGGCTCGATATATAGATATTGAATCTGTCAGGCAGACCGTATACTTTCAGGTGTGTCACCTATGAAACTGGACTCATATTGCTAGGTTAGTTTAAAGGATAATATCTATGTGCATCACAAGTCCATCGTACAATGTTCTTTCATTCATCCGTGTTGTGTGTTGTAATTGATTACTAATCCTGATGTGCTGCACATTTATTGCGAGGTTACCTTATTATACAAGGTCACTGTGAAATCGTTTTGCTATTCTTCTATTTATTTGGCATTGAAATTGTCCTAAACCCAGCTTTGCATATACAACAATACACACACAATGTATTGAAGGTATATTTTGACTTGGTGTCTTTGTACTAATCCGTAAAAGGGAAACGAAGGAGGTGGGGTGGTGGTCCTGGTGTGTGGGGAAGTTTAATGCTTTTAACATTAGAAAAAAGCAAAATGCAATTGGTTAAGGAGTTATGTTATTTTAATTAGCAAATGGACAAGATATGACACTGATCTTAAACGGTTTATAATGAATGTTTGTCTGTGCCCATTCCATCTAAGAATCGTGAAGTACTTTTTTGTATCACTCGCAGGTTGTGTGAAAGACTTAAAATAAGGTCCTACATGGATTCTTCTTATTTCTTGGAGGCGTTGGCTGGTAATTTCATGGATGTGGTCCAGTATAATGAGGACAATCGAATTTTTGAGGTAAGTGCAGCAGGTATTTGAATCTATACAGTGATAGCTTGAAGAATCAGCTTTGTCTTACAGAATTCTCTCTCTAGCACATTATCAACCATTGCCATTACTAAAATAAACAGGCAAACTGTATAAAAAATTGCATCTTTGACGTTTGCGTCAAGCAGTTTTTGATTTTTATTCAAATACAAACCTTCGTGATTTCATTAAAACCATCCAATAATTGCGCAAACTCCCTGCGGCTGACTTACTATTCAGAGAACACTGTATTATGTCACTTCAACATTCCCTCTGTTATGTCTAGAATGTAATTTAATATTGTAGAGGTCAATATGACATGATTAAGCAACAATGTATTGAATTACTTCTTTGCACATTTCTAAATATTTATTGTGGGATGATTATAGTATGTGGAGAAACAACTGGAATTTCATAGGCCTTGGTGCTTTTTTCTTTCCGTCTTTACAAAACTTCTTCCAAATTTACAAAATCTTTTCAATGCGTAAAATACTTCATCCCTTCTCTCTCGCTGCTGTGCGTGTTTTCAAAATGCTCATTCGTCAAGAAAAAAAATGTAAATGTCTATGACAATTTGTTTAAAATCAAATTCTATCCTGAATCCAAATGTAATCAACAGTGTTCAGGATGATATAGATTTCTCTTTTTTTGTGTCATGTTTCTGTTTGAGTTCAAAGGACCAAGATCAAAACTTGTAATAATTAAAAATGTTTAAACAAAGTGCTGGAGTATCTCTGAAAAAAGTGTCTGGAAAGGTACATTTTCAGCTGTAGTATCGCACTTCTTAAGGGTCAAATAAAGAACAGCATTGGTAGCAAGAGTGAAATTTTAATTAAGAAAAAGAAATACATTTTCTTGCATTTTTGCACTAATATTTCATAATTTACCTTCATATTTTGTGAATAGGATCCAAAAGGTACCAACATCACTATTCAGGTACTCTGTGATATCATGGCAAATTCATCGTTGGGTGTACCCTACAAGAGATATGCTGCAATTGTACAAATGATGTTGCAAATATATGACGAGAAATGTCTGGATACTAGTTACAGCAAGTTTTTACAGGATATGTCTAATATCACTTGGACAGGATTAGCAGCAGATGGAAGTAGGAAATCAAACTTTTATTTTAACATGCATATTAGTTTAGATTGTATCTTATTGAGGATCAGTGCTCAAAAACAAGTAAAGGGATTAAAATGTTTTTGCACACTTCCTAACGCACAAGCAACATCATTTGTAATGAGCACTTTTATCTTATGTTTACTAGGTTGATGTAGTGGCAAATTTGTTTGGGGAGTTATTCCGATGAGAATCAATAGAATTGGTAGCAATAAAGATTTGTGATCAAGAGAAAGAAGCTGGTGGGTAAAAGTGAGAGAAACATATTATTTCAGATTGACTCTGAAATAACATGTCATTGTTGTGGAATATTTATATGCAGCTGGAACAATTTTGTTTGTGCTTTGAGGGAGGAAACAGCTTTAAAGTTTCCCACTTCGAGCCAAGAATGAAGTTGTATGTAATATGGTGATATTGGGGGGGGGGGCTCTTAAACACGTTGAGGTCTGCAGATCAGTCTTTTCTCGTGTTTATAGTCCAGTTAAGATGTCTTCATTTGGCTTCCTTCCGCACAACTAGAATCCCTTTAAGTAATGAAGCTCTGAGAAATGCCACCGTTATTCAACAGATTTTCATAATGAATTTTATGTTCTACTTTCAAAGTACCCACAATCCTGAGTCAAGTATTTTACGCCTCAAGAGTATTGCCTTCTAAAATCACTTTAAGTCTGTGTTCAGTGGGAGTGTCGGAGGCTGAAAATGCCAACTGTGCGAGTATTTACATGAGGTGATGTGACTCATGTTGTTGTGTTAGAATTGCTGCATTGTGCGGGCAATGATGGACTGCAGTTGAGACATGTTCTCACAAAGCCTGCTTTATGCTTTATGTCTCAAGCTCCTTTCTCCAGAAAGTCTCCGAAAAGACGACATTCTGAAAATTGCTCTGAAAAGCAATTGTCAACCAGCAAAAATCTGCTGCATTAAATACTCAGCTGTGGCTGATGACATCGGATCAATTGCTAAGAAGGGTTAAAGTCCCAGCCAAAACTGAGAAGAATTGCATACTAAGAAATGCGCAGTTTAAATTTGTAAATGTCCAAATGTGGCTTAGAAGCACATCCTCCTCCCTCGACAACACTTATCTGTGCCTAAGTGAAGCTGCAAGATTACTTGTTTGACTTCTGCTTTGTGGCATCCAACTGCCAGTTCCAGGCGAGGAGCTTCTCTGAGGGTTATTTTTCTATTTAGCAAATGGCCTCATCAAGAGATGAATAACCTGAGGAAAGGAACAATTCGGTTGCACACAGTTTTACAAGGTGCAGCGTAAAAATGCCTCTGCTTTATCCCAAATGTACACCTTAATCCCAGACTCAAAAAAGTTCATTTTAACTGCAGGATTGTGGTCAATTTAGAGCTATACACAAATTATCAGATTGAGCACTTAATAGACGTGCTGGAGGTGTTAATCCCCAACCCCACCCCATTCTGTTCTCAATTACGACATTCATGAAGCTGGGTCCATTGCATTTCATGGATCATGGCACTGAACTACTGGACTACTGGGATAGCAAAATACCTTCGATCAAAACGCTGCAATCCCACTAAATGTCGGTTGAACTCTACGATCTAATGCTAGAAGTCCAGTGCCATTGATGAGGCTTTACGAGTGTTATCATTGTGAGAGATCTTAAGGTACGCCCCAGAAAACATTCAATGAGATAAATGTCAAATGTATCACTGAACCAACAGCAATGTGGATTTATTGAGGTTGGTTCATTCTGACACAAGGTATCCCTTTGGTCTTCCCCAAAGGAAACTGAATTGAGCAACCGTTTCATTTTGAGTGCCTACAGCAAGCAAAAAGAGGAGATTTTCATTTCTTCCACTTCGGCCGGATTAAAGCTCAAGTGCCAGGAATGAAAGGATAGTGCAATGGGTTCACATACTTCACGTTTTCCATACACTGTTGTTGCAACATATTTTCCAGCCTATTGGAGAATCACATGTGCTCAGGAACATGTGAGCAACGGGTCACCATGTTAAAAAGTGGTAGATGTTGACATTTCTAGTGTAAATATGTGGAAGTAGATTTTGTGAAAACCAGCCAAGGCAATCGATCATACTAAATGAAGCAGCATATTTTGAAAACACCTAGCAAACAGATATTTTCCCTTCTTTTATTATTCCTCCCCACAGATAGACAGTGGGAGTATCAGTCGTGTGCTGAATTTGGCTTTTTTCAGTCAGCGGATTCAATACTTCAGCCTTTCTCTGGCTTTTCTCGCCGGTGAGTTGGGTTCTGGATGATTCTGAGAAATAGCAGGACCACATTGTTGCGCAATGTTCTTGGGCAACTGGAACTCATGCGGTGGGCATCGGGTGTAATTTACTGCAGATTGGCACGCAACACAGCACTTGAAATTTGGGCCAGAGCCTGCATGAAATGCTGTACATTTCTTCCCTTTTCTAATTATCACGAGGCTGCTCTCAGCTTATAATAATGCGTTACGTTTCCGAAATGTGTTGTATCCTTGATCAGCCAGTTTAAGAACCTTTCCAAGAACTTGTCATGCAGAGGTCATTTATGATCAGTTGAAAGGTATTAGACGGCAACAAAAGAAAGAAAAACCCCCACATGTTTACGAAAGTGTTAAAACAGCGAACGTTAATGAAGGCAATGAGCAACAATGGGAACTAACTGAGAGTAGAGCAAATTGTATCAAGCTTTCTTTAAAAAAAACCACATAAAATAGACACAGTGTAGATTTGTCTTAGGTGGGAAATTTCCAGCTAGCAGCTATTTGTATCTTTACAAATATATAACAGTCACTATTGTATACAGGACAGTAACACTCTGGATAAATAGTAGCAATGGTTCACTGGATACGCAAGACAAATGCTTTAGCAGACGTTAGATTTAATCTTTTTTCCCATTTCTTACGTTGTAGTTACAAACTTCAGCAGTGTGTGGATATATTTGGTCCAAAGTTTAATGCGAGTGCAGTTGCCAATGCGATACAGCAGACCAACGAATGCTATGGAGGCCTTAACATTAAAAGCAGTCGGATTGTCTTCCCCACGGGCTCAATGGATCCTTGGCATATATTAAGCATCACAAAGAATCTTAGTGTGGATGTTCCAGCTATTTACATTCAAGGTAATACAACTGTCCGTGATAGCCTCTATAAAGTAACTTGGAGAGTATACAAAATCAGGAGTGTTTTTGGTAGGTGAAAGACTCTGCACGACACGAGCACTCTGGTGACAACCAAAATCCTAGGAATTTGGGCAATACCTGTTTCAATCTTGATCCCGGAAATGTTGCACTGTATGCAGTAGTGTGGATAATAATAAATAACAATCCTAGCATTTGATATAAGGCCTTATCGCGTCTTCGAGATATCTCAAAGCTCTGTAAAGTAGTCACTGATGATATTTCAGTTGCTCCAAGTGAGCAATGGCCTGTGGTTACTCCAGTCAACTGTAAGACCAAGTCTGAATGAAAGGCCAAGCTGTTAGAAGTGGTATATTTAGCACAAAACTAAAAGTATAGTATCTGGAAGACCGCAACTAATTGGTTTCTCTAATCCAAATATTACATCATACATTTGGAGTTGCATTTGTGGTTCTTTTTTTTTTGTAGAGAGTAATTATAGAGCATACATTAAAAATCCACATCAATGCTATTGCATTAGATGTTTATTTTAATAAAGTTAAGCAAGTATTAAGAATTGTAATTGGCACCCCTCCATTACTCTATTATTTATTTAGCCTTTCATTAAAAATTTAGCCCATGTTAAATTATTGAAAGTATTTATAAGCCACTGATTCTTCACATTACCATTAAATCCTAGACTTTGTGACATAAATTGTTCTTATTCTTTCCTAAATGGAATCATAATCATTTCATTGATGACTGATTCTGCATAATTATCAAGTAAGGCAAATATAGACAGCAAGTACTGAACAGTAACAACATTCATAACCAGCTGATGGTTTTAACGTTTCACCTGTCGCCAGAGGCTATCTATTCCTTAAGAATAAATCAATCACAGATGCAACCGACATTACTCAACATTAGTTTTGTTTCTATTGAGCACCAGAAAGTTTTAAATGCTTGAACCACACTGGTGATTGATTGGTATGAAAGTATTCTGGTCCAGTTTACTGCAATAGATTTTGTTCAGTGGCCACTGGCACATCCTGCTTCATTTAAGTGTTAGGATATGTGTGTGCCTCCCTGTTCATTTCCATCAAGTGTAAAATGGTATATTATAGTTTTGCAGCTCAAATAGTGTGTTTGAAAAGAAAGCATTGAATTACCTTTTTAATTGTTCTTCTACCTGATCAGTTTGAAAGATTTTGTGTTCCAAAGAACACACAACTGCAGACAAGGGATTATTTTATGTTATTGGCCGTTGTGTTGCTTTCATGCACGTCAAAGGTTCATCAGTTGTGAACTCTCATGTGAGAGAGATTTTTCGACTGGTGTGGCTGAAACTATTGCTCATGAGCCAGACATGTGCTCAGTACAAATGTTAGTTCAGTAATACAGTAAGATTGATACCCTGCTAAGTGTAATGTTACTTATATGATTGTTATAGTGACTTATTCAGATTCCAATACTCCCATCCTTCCCCATCCAACCTCCATGAAAAATAATAATCAGAAAGGAGATTCAAGCTTCAACCTTGAATTCAACAATGTACATCCAAGCATTGGCAGAATAAAGACACAATATTCCCAACAAACATAATCAGAACAAGAAAAGGGCGGACTGAGGATTTATTTTAGTACATATATAAATTTGCTTGTGTTTCCTTTTTTTATGAGGACTAATGTTGATGGCTTAACGCACAGTTCCTACTAATCATTGCCACATTATCTAGCTCTATTTTTAATGAGTAGTAATGCTTAACACATAGTGATAAGGTGTCAGGTATAGAAAAGTATTCCATTCCCCCAACTGACTTTCCTCACCATGATAAGCGTCATCACACACAGGTGCTGATATGTAAATAAATGTACCAGAGCAAAAAGATTTCATTAGAAGTGAGCCTTACGTGTATTCTTTGGCAGAGTTATTTGACAAAATGTCACCAGAGAGTCAAGAAGTGTATCCGGATCTGTGTGCAGGTTCTGCTTGTATTTTTTCTAAAAGACTTTTAACTATTAAAACTTGAACTTTACAAACATTCTAGACCTTTTCAGGTCTTGTTGTTGACGTGCGTACGCAGTATACAGAGGAACAGTGCTTACTTTGAAACCATTGGGTGTTAATACTTATAGGCAACCCGTCAGCATTCTTTGACTGGTTGGGTCAGAACGGGTGTGTGGGGTGGGGTCTATTGGATGGATTGATGTTCTATAATAATGATCATGTAATAAATAATAATAATGTTCTATGTGGGAACTTGGCAATGGGTGACTTGGTTAATCTTGCTTGTACATCTGCAGAGAATCTGGGGAGAATGAATTGAGAATGTTTTACAATCCCGTCGATATGTTAATGTAGAGGTTAATATTGTGGAAATACAGGTTCTTAGACGACATGCTCAGGGATATATTTTACATGTATTCCTTACCTTAACAGGTACAGCGCATTGTGCTAACATGTATCCAGCACGATCAGAGGACCTACCACAGCTTACAAGGGCAAGAGAAGAGATTTTGCAGCTGCTTCAAAACTGGCTTAAATAGTCGGTTCATTTAAATCAGCAAAAGATTGTATTTTTTTAAAAAAAACAAACCAACTTCAGAATTTTGTTGTCGTTTTTCCTCTTCCTCTTTTCCTGATCAAAGTTCTTGTGCAATAAATAAATGTATGTATACTCTGTAGTAACGGTGTAACCAGTTAAAAATTTTCACTGCATTTGATCGAACAATATGGAATGGTGATTTAATCAGCAGAAATTTTACAAGAAGCAGTTAAGAATTTCAAGCCCATCTTAGGATCATATAATTCGATCTGAGTGTATTGAGGGGCTGCTTGGATCAATGGGTGAGTATGCGGAGATGCATCTCTGGAACCTGGATTTCAATTGACAAGGATGTTTTGCTAGATAGATATGGCACTATGTGGACAGAGGGAGCGAACATCTTTTGTCTTCCTTCCAACTTTAAGAAATTGACCTGTTTGTTTCTTTGGGCGTTTATCCTGCTGTACATGTGGGTGTGGGTAGAAGGGAGTGAAAAGGTTGAATTACATAGAATGATACAGCACGACAACAGGCCACACAGCCCAAACTTGTCCATGACAGTGTTTCCTCCACACAAACCTACAACCCTCCATTACCCTCACCTATACCCTTCTATACCCCTCAGACGATTGAGATGCAATGAAGAGAAGGATTAGTTATTTTCTATCTTGTGTTGTGTGAAGCAATTTCCTGCTATTCCTATTTTATCTCACCTTTAATTATTTTCAAAGTTATCAGGAGGTGGGACTGTTTTGGTTTCTTCTTGTTAATAAAGAAATGTTCGAATCATGCCAAAGGCACATTCCGGGTTGGGGAATCATTCATTTTCTTGTCAGGGCAGATCTGAAATGAAAGCAGGTGAGGACACAATGTATTTTAAGGGAATTTGCATTGACTGTAATCCCCTCACTCCCTTTTCTTTCTGCCCAATGGTGGATTTACTGAGTCTCTGAAATTCCAGTTGGATATTAAAAATACTAATTTAGGGCATAGCTGGTATAAACTACAATGTGCACTGGTGGTTCATGGGTTCTTATTTTGCATCAAGAGCAGTGAAAGATTTTGAGGAGATAATTAAGCAGATCATAACTTTCTTATGTGCCCAACATCCACTTGTGTCAGCATCTACTGCTTAACCTCATTGACGTTTCTGATAATAATTGATATCTTTATAAATCACAGCAACCATTTCAACTTTGAAAATCACTCTAGGTAAGTCAAATAAACTCCCATCAGTACAGCAGTGAGTACTGAATGCTAACACCCACCACTTGACTCCACCACATCCTAAATGTATATATTTAGACACTTTCTCTGCCACCCACTTCCCAATCAAAATACCACCAGAATCCTGAAACGCTCCCACTTACACGGTAACTTGCCAAGTTATATTTTTAGGAAAGACGCCGAATGCAAAGGTATTATGGAACAAGGTTACACTCTGCCTTCCGAGCTCAATTGTGTGACAATTTCGAAACTGCCTTTGGTTATTTTGAAATGGGGGGGCGAAGGAGGCTGGTAAGATAACGTAACGATCATTAATGATGGCAAAAAAAGATCACGCGACCCATTGAGCTTCATGCTTTAACCCATATTTAGTTAAATGATATGAGATTTTCAAGTTTTGAACGTGCCGTGGAATTTGTGGACAGAATCTTAATACCGTTACAAAGCATCAGATTCCCACAGATGGCATGCAGCATACACTAAACAACCTGATTCCTGCACTTTACGATGAAATTACGTTTGTTTTCCATGAGGATTTTATCTGATTTACAGTCTAGACACAACAGGACAGTTCTGAGTCGTGATAAGCTGATAGAAGCTAAAACAATGTTTTCTAGAGGATAATAATAATAATATCGGTGAATATTGAGGCAATTAAATAATGCCATCACAATCGCCATAGCAATATAATACTGACCACGTGTACAGGATGTTCTACCTCCTGTGAGGCTCCATTGATATACCCCATACGTTGCAGTGTGCTGTGTATGTTTCTGTATGTGCACAGTGATGCTATGAGTTTGTGTGTGGTCAGTAGAACTTGGTCACAAACATACACTCACACAGTGTGCCTATTAATGCACTTTCCACAACCAGGAATCCAATGATGCTGGTTAGTAAAAGACGCATCGTAACAGTGTGATTTTAGGAAGTGCGTTGGCAAATTGGTTTGGGCAATTTCCGGACCCTAGAGCTCAGGTTCTTTTACGTTCCTGCTCATTCAGGTAGAATACCCAATCCACCTTTTTTTTTGCAATATGTCAAAACCATTTGATCTGCTCATAAGTCAGATTTGCCCACAAGCAAGTCCCACAAATAGTCATGAAGTGATTGACCAATTTTATCTTCGGGATTATTGGCTAGGACATATATATTTACATATATATATAAAACATAGGATATATATATATTATATATTTATATCTCGCCCACAAAATATACAGTCAATTCACTTTACATTATATTTTGTGAAGCACTTTGACATGTCTCGAAGACATAATAAGACATTATATCAAATGCAAGAATTATTATATATGTCCCATGTTCTATATATATGTCCTAGCCAATAATATATATAAATATAGATTGTGGTTTTGTTGAGGAAGAAAGTCATGGTGGTGAGAACTCATCCACAAAGTTAAAAGAAAAATGTTTAAACTGTGTAGGAGTAAAATGGGTTTACCTGTTGTTATACATTGTTTATTTGTAATAATAATAATCCTTACATTTGATATAGCGCTTTTCACGTCTTCTAGGCGTCCCAAAGCGCTTCACAGAATATACTGTAAAGTGAATTGACTCTATATTTGTGGGTGAACGCGGCAGCCAATTGTGCACAGCAGTGTCTCACAAACAGTCGTGGATTGAAAATGACCAATTTATTATTGTTTTTGTTTATCTAATTGTTTTTGTAATCTAATTGGCAAGCTAAGGAGATATATAACGAGACAAGCTTTGAGAAGTCCTCCCAAAATGAAAGGCACTATATCAAATGTAGCGATTATTATTTATATGGATTGAGAACCGGAGACAGAGAGAGGGAGAGATGGACCAATACACAGAGATAAAGACGCCACAAGTAAATTACAAAAACACAAAGCATTTAGAAGCGAAACATGCAAAAACAAAATAGAACCAGAATTGCACAACAACAACAACATGAAAAATAAAGAGACAAGTCCAATTGCAGATAACCTGGCAGCCTGAAATCAAACTGGGCAGGATTCAGCCACTGGCGAAGCCTAAATGCCTGTTCGGTAGCTTTGCTCGTTCTGAGAGAAGGAGACAGGAAGGCCTTCTTGTCCACGCACTTGCATTAATTGAAAAGTGAAACCATTGCAAATGCAGTTTGGTTTATTTTCAGATTGCACTGTCCTCCCAGCCCACTGCTAAATACCAAGAGAGCGTTGTCATTGTAGCTACTGGCTACTGATCAGAAGCTGCCTCCTCCACTCTTTCCTTTCACTCTCAGCTTGCCTGCTCTCTGTTTTCTCAGTTCCTTTGAAATTGCACATTTCTATATATATGTGCGTATAGCTACCTCTTTCTTTCTCTCTCTCTCTTTCTATGTATATGTCTGTTCACATTCAGGCTGTTACAGCTTTCACTTCAGTTTATATAGTCAGAGCTTTCTATAATTTCCCCCAAGAGTTGTGCTAACTCCTTGTGGTTATTTTCCTTCCTCTTACATGGTCAGTTACACTATTTCAATGTTTAAAATGGCAAAGAATGTGAATGTGAGACAGCCAACACTAATTCCCAGCAGGACCCCAGGGGGTGGCTATTAAATCAACATGAAAATTGCAAATATTCAAAAATGTTCAATTTTACAGTTAACCCATTACATTCTTGAAATTATTCTTGCAATTTAGTCTGAGACCAATATTAACTATTGTGTTGTATTGCAATACAGCTGGCAATGGGTTGGGGGAGGTGGAAGAGGGACAGCCATTAGAACTGTTTGTAGCAAAAGGAGTAAGTAGAGAAGGGGAGGGCTAGAGGAGATGGTTGAGGTACGGAGGTCAGTTTGAAGAATATTAACTTGAACCAGTCGGAGACTAAATATGGGCGATGGTCTTATGGAGCCTTATGCAGGAGACGTTATGGGTTGCAGAGGGATCAGCAAGGAGGACATTTGAGAAATAAAATCCAGAGGTGATGTACAAGGGTTTCGGCAGCAGAAGGGCTGAGGATAAGTGGTTTGAGTCTGTAGAGGGGTCAGGTTCATGGACCCTTTGGATATTTTTTCTCTGCCTAACCCCGAGAAGGCCAAAGCCAATGTAACCTTACCTTACAGCCCAGACTGAGACCAGCAAATAGCATGGACCGCGATTCGATCTAAGAAGTTGCTGGTCGATAAACTGCTGCTCCATCCACTCCACTATCAGCATTGTCAGTTATACAGTTTCATAGCACAATACCAGTTTAAAACTAAACCCCTCTTAGTGTTAAACCTGATAAACTGCATGGGCAGAATAGCCAACACTGTTAAGTCGTTGACTCAGCAATATCACAACAACAACAAATTACAATTGTGTGGCACCTTTCATGTTGGGAGGACATAACATTTTGAGAAAAAAACTAGACTTTTAATACACAGCCCAAAACAGTACAGGGCAGTTTATTATAGATATAAATTTTCAGGCAGGCCAATGCATTTTATGAAAGTACTGAGTGTCCGATACTATTCTATTTTTATTTAAAAAAAACAAAATGTTCTGCTACTTCAACCAGCAAAATTAGAAACTAATGTGTCGTTCTCCAGGTGATCTGCAATGATGCTGAAATTTTGGGGTCAGCCAGGTGTCCGCCATATGGAACTGCATCTCCACATTGAGAGTTCCACAAGGTAGGCCACTTACACAGAAATTTCCTTGTGTCCCGAAACAGAATGCGCACTCGCTCTCTCTCCTTGTTCGAGATGCTCCCTGCTTACCTAACTCTGGAGAGTATTCGGCATCGGTTGTCAAAAAGCAACACGACTTCGGTCCCATAGTTTTTTGCGTTGGGCTATTGCTGATCTAAAGTTTAACCAGCTAAAAACACTTTAGCTTGCCACTGAGAGGAAGCTTCCTACTGCTTATCCAACAAGGACTATCCCATCATTTAGTTTGCAGGAATAAGTGAGGAGAACTCTTGCTCCCAGTGACTGATCCGCCTATTCAGAATGTACCAAAGGGCCAGACTTTCTAGACTGTCATCAGCAATGCCCTAGGCTCTGGAACTCCATCCCCCAGTGCCTTCGCCGCTTCCTCCCTTTCCTCCTTCAAGGCCGGTCTCAAGACCTTTCTCTTTGACCGTGCCTTCAGCTCCCCTCTCGACTCTCTACCCCTCCTCGCTCCTTCCCTCCCCTCACCCTGACCATTTCCCCCCAATGCTCGGGTCCTGACCCAACTGTCCAGCGCCTTTGGGACGTCCTCCCGACGTGAAAGGCGCTCTATAAATGAAATCTTGTTGTTGTTGTTTTTGTTGTAGTATTGTGGATCTGCCTGGCTCTGAACTGGACTACTGAGACCATCATGGGTCGACATGATTCCAGTATTTTGTTACCAAGCATGTTAACTTGGCACCAACTCAGCTCCAAGGAGATCCCTCCACAAGAGAGCTACGTTTTGGGAATCCATAGATCTGGACGCATTTGGTTGCAGTTTGATACAGATATGTTTCACGAAGGAAAGGGCCTGATGAAATCACTTTATTTGGCTGGTGATACCCTACAAAAATGTATTTTATGTGAGTAACCACAAGGGAGTTAGACTCAGAATTCATGAATCACAAGATGAACAATCATTCCAGCAATGTTGTCATTCTAGAGACATTTCCCCCTTGGTTTGGATGCTCCCTATAATGGTTTCCTTGTGCTCAGACACCCCCCCCCCCCCCCCCCCCGCCCAGTGCATTCTCGCTTTGAGATGTCTCAACAGCCTTGGTAAGGCGTTATATCAAATGCAAGGATTATTATTATTGCACTGGCTGTGTGTGGTTGGATTGTCCCTTTAAATAACTTGCTGCCGTTCAAGCCAACAGCCAAACAGCTACTTCGTACTGTTACCACGTTCGGGTCTGTTTTGTACAAAGAGCAAAACGTGGACTGGAGTTGGGGGGGGGGTGGGGGGGAGTGGTGGGTTTGAACAAGGTTCCGGGATTCAGGACAAGACAGTCGACTGACGTTTAGGTTTTGGTGAAATCGCCTCCCCCAGGAGAGGAGGAGCAGTCAAACAGCCAGTGTATAAAAGTGGAGCTGAAGCGACACTTGAAAGGTACATTTGCGCAGGGAAGGGGGTGTAAGGTAGAGTTGGTAAGGTGAGTACAGTGTCACAGTGTAAGGTAGAGTTTGTACGAAAACAAGTTCTCAAGAAGATTGGGTTGGAAGCGAAACATTTGCAGCGTTCAGTGACTAACCACAACGGAACAAGTTTTGTCTTTCCTTTAGTTTCTTGCGTCAAGGGAGGATTGTGGTACAGACGGCGATCTGTTTGCTCTCAGTGGACTTTTGACTGGTTAAGGGCATGCTTGTGCTAGACAGACATTTTATATGACAGTTCACTTCGACTTAAAGCGAGTTAAATGTGCATCAGCAATAGTATTGCTTTCTTTGCAATTTTTACTACTATTAATTTTTGGGGGAGAGAATTCTTGTTAGGTAATCCTTGTGTGGTATAAATAATTTAGAAAGCTGGTTGCTTCCTGACTGCGGTTGCTTTGAATTGTAATTGAAAACTTATCGTTAATGTTGTGAAAAGATGCTATTGCAGTTCTGGCGGTGTTAATGACATCGGTATTTAATGTGACAGTGATCATTCATGTTGGTGCAATTAATTAGAAAACAAGCTTTCTCTCTTGAAAGCAAAATACCTGATAATCTAGCAATTTACACTTGGAAAAAAATCTACTTTGCTAAACAATATTAAGTGCCCCTTCTATTAATATGCAATAATCGAGTGGTATCGTTTTTTTCATAAAAAATACTTACATGTTCATTTCCAGCATCTTGACCAAGAGTGATGGGACTTTGAGGCAATATTTCAGTGGTTGAAACAACTTTTATTCAGCTGTTGATTAAGGAATTAGTTCAATAAGAGTCAGTTAAATTGCTAAATGTGGAAGATGTAACATTTTATCCATGTATTGTTGCCCTTGAAATGTTAACAGCCATTCATGCATGTTTTTGTGCTGAAAATGCAAATGTATGTAAATGCTGTTTGCTTTTCTCTGTTACCATGGTTAGTCATTGATATTCAAGGGTGGCTCTCCAAAGAGTATTATCCCAGTTTCAAGGTCGTTTGCTTACATTCCAAAGTACTGGATTTATTTTAACGTAGAAAGCTTCTGCCCAGTTTCCGAAGAGCACCATTCACTTGCTTCCTGGAAAAGAACTTGCTTTCAATCAAAGCCTTTTGGTACATTGATTGGTGAATTTTAGTAACCAGTAACGATTGATCGTACAGGTACGGTGTAAAGGAATTGGCAGAGGTGTGTTATGATTTATGTAATAGTACCATTCCTCGCCAACAAAAGCTTAGTTAATTTCCTGCTTGTTTGTGTTTGATATTATTTTAACTTTTCTAGGTTACATAGTCTACATATTTGATTTTATCTTTTAGGCTGAATCTGTCCAAGATGGGAAAAATGGGAAGATTTAGTATCCTCATCATCATTGGTGTGGTTTTGCAGTCTGACCACTGCTTAATGACCGAACAAGTAGCAGAACTGGGGTCGGACCTGGGATTGAGTGTATTCAAATACATTGCTAACTCCAGCGAAATCAAAAACATTATCATCTCCCCACATGGGATTGCAACCGTACTTGGGATGCTCCAACTAGGAGCAAGTAGGAAAACAAAGAGTCAGTTGATTAAAGCTCTGAAGTACAACTCAAATGGTTTGTTTGACTTTTTAAATTATTGTTGTAAAATGCACTGATACTTTTCTATTTTAGTGGGACTAATGATGTCCTGCTGCAAAATAAACAGTCAAACCACTTTACCGTATATCCTTAGAAGCGCATTGAGATGTCTCGAAAACGTGATAAGGCGCTCTATCAAATGCAAGGATTATTATTATTACTTACCCTCTGTGACGCGCTATAAATATGAATCATAAGTTCCAAACGATAAAATGAGTTGTATGCAACTGCTGTTTTCTGGTATTTAAGGATGCGATACATTTTCTGTACTTATTCATTCTTTAATAGGTGTTCACCAAAGCTTGAAAATTATGCGGGAGTCTCTAACTGAGAAGAAGAACAGAGATACAGTTACTATTGCCAATGGTCTCTTTCCACACAAAAAGTTTAGCTTGGAACGACCATTTGTTACCAAGAATAAAAACATATTCCAAGCTGAAGTGACGAGTGTAGATTATGGCTCCTCTGATCAAGCTGCTTCCTTAATCAACAAGTGGGCTATGAAACAAACTGGAGGTACACATTCCATAAATCTTCAAGTAGCCAAGAATAAGATTAATCTTATGTTTGTATGTTTGTTTGTCCACAGACCATCTACTTAACATTCATTGACGTATCTAGCTGAATTATTTGTTTCAGTTAAACCACTAATTTTGGAACTTTTTTTGATGTAAACCACTTTTAAATACAAACACCTTAGTGTTTTGCACTCTGGTGCATGTGAACTTTACTTCTTCCCCCCTCCTCTGTGTGCACATGTGTGTTTAATGTTTGGTATTGATCTCTGGTTTTCAGACTGCTTTTAACCTCCCAAAGAGCAGATTTAATGTTTGATTCCAAGTTCACTTAAATATTCAGATTTGGTTTCTGCTTCAGGTATGATTGAAAATCTGGTTTCCTCTGATGATCTCAGTGAATTGACCGCGCTTGTAGTGGTCAATGCCATATTTTTCAAAGGTTTATGGAAAACCAAATTTGTACCAGAAAATACCCACGATGAGGATTTCTACACAGCGGATGGGAATGTTTATCAAGTGCCCATGATGGCTCAAAGATCACATTTCAAGTTTGGTAAGTCTAAAACTCAATAAAGTGGCTTCTCTCTGTTAGCCTAGACTAGAGTTACTTTTAATTGTATTACCCCTTATTTGGAGTGTGCAAATGACTGAGAAATATCCTCCAGGTGATGGTGGGGATGTACAATAGAGTGATGGGAGACAGGTTCTGTTACTCCTCTACCCATTATGTTAAACTTCTGGTTTCAGTTTGGAATCTGGTTGTAGAAGGTTTTTAACGTGACTGCATGAGTAGTTGCCGAGCAATTCCTAGATTTGCTTGCTATTCATTACATCAAAGCTAATTTAAAAACGATGTACACAGTGAATAAAATTCAGAGTGAACGTGTATTCTGCACAAGGACTAAAGTGAGATTTTGCTCATCGGCGATAAATTGATACTGGTCAAGAGCTTCACATGGCATGTTACAAATAATTGTATTGTTATCACTTCAACTTTATTGAATGTCTATTCACTGTGAATGGCAATATACTTGGATAATAAACTGCTGTTTGGGTTGCTAGCAGAAGATAGAATCTGAATAAACCACAGTCAAGAATTTAACTGTGTGTGTAAGTATATATGTACCTCGTCTGAAATTCTGCTTTGATTTCACAGGTTTATCTGTAACACCAAATGATGTGAGATATTATGTCCTTGAACTGCCGTATCAAGGGCCGATCAGCATGTTTATTGCTCTTCCAGTAGAATCTGACACCGAACTTTGGAAAATAATGACTCACATCAATGTACAAACCATCCAAAACTGGCAAAACACACTACGTCAGAGAGAACTTAACCTTATCATGCCAAAGTATGTCTGGAGCATTTTCTTTCTGCTGTATAGATTTTCATAGATTCTTGAATTTATGTAGCTTTGTTTTAGAGTTAATTCTACAATATTAGATTCCTCCCGAAGTTCAGTTTGAAATAGAAGTATTGTGTAGCCAAATGTGAGAGCTAGTCTCCAACATGAACATCCCACAAACACTAATGAGGATAATGATCAATTGGTCTACTTTTTGGGTACTTGGATGTGGAAGGATTGGCACTTAGAACACAGAATTTCCTGCTCTTCAAAAATGGTGGAGTGGTTCTTTGGTGTTCATCTGAAACAAAAGTGGGGTGAGAAAAGAGCATTGTTTTAATGTTGATCTGAAGTTAAGCAGCAACAACAGTGGAGCATCCACTCAACGTACATGTATGGGGAGATTATGACCTTGAGTCCTAACCTGGGGCACAGATTCACAATCTTCTAAATTGGTGGCAAGGCTGCTACCAACTGAGCCAAATTCCTATTAATTTATTTCTATTCTGCATAGTTTTTGTAAATGCGTTGGCTGGTTTATTTACTAGTAGCTGTGTTTGCTTAGTCCTTTGAAAATTCCCTTTTCTGTTATAGGTTCACTGCTGAGTTGGAGACTGACTTGAAAGAACCTCTTTCTGCTCTTGGAATTACTGACATGTTTAATTCAGCCAGAGCAAATTTTCCAAGGATTTCTGGCAAGTTTGTTAAAATATTTGTTTGGAAAACTTTTTCGATAGCTCTTTGAGGTACACAATTCCATTGCCTTTGTTCTGTTTGCAGCGAGTGCTCCCATCTACGTTTCAAAGATGTTTCAAAAGGCTAAAATTGAAGTGAATGAAGAAGGAACTAAAGCCGCTGCAGCAACAGGCAAGTCTTGACGCTGTTCAGTGCTTCATATGAAAAGGCTCCAGAGCTTAATCGAAGTCAATGGGCATTCAACATCTCTGCCCCACCCCATACCTGGAACTCTATGCTGCAATCCCTCCGCTTCACCCCCTCTCTTGCCTCCTTCAAGTCCTGTTTAAAGATCTTCCTCTTTGACCGTGCCTTCGGTCAACCCTCCGACCCCCACCCGCCTGACCTCCACCCCTCCTGACCCCAGCTCGGGTCCAAAATCCCTGATTGTCCAGCGCCCTGGGACATCTTTCCGACGTGAAAGGCGCTATACAAGTGTAATTTATTGTTGAGGTCAGCATAATGCAAATGTGACCATCTTCTGAACAGTTATAAACTGGTCGTTGAGAAGCCTTACAGAACTAATGAAGATGTCTTTCATTCAAACAGATTTTTTTAAATTTTTCTCATTAAACTCCCCCAGACCCTTAAAAGACATTTGTAGAACTTTTTATCTGTAGTAATGTGGTTGGAAGACAATTCTGTATGAAACATTTTTCTCTTAACTTCGGAAAAGTTCTTTCATTTCCTGCTAATGACTTCCCTCTCGTTACAGTTTCTATCATAATGCTGAAGTCAATAGGGATAACTACCCCATTCATTCTAAACCGACCGTTCCTCTATTTTATACGGCACAATCCTACAGGTAAATCACATTTTGTATAATATTCTCTATTTTATACAATGTCTTTATTGTAACGCTATTCATTGGCTAAACCTGAAGAATCTCCAGACCTTGATATGGGAATAAATTGTCCAGTCATGATGGTCTTAATTGTATCTGCTCTGCGTAGGTTGAGAAATTGAGTCTCTGTACACTATCGAACTATCGAAGTGTTCTTAAATTGGATAAGTAAGCAACTAACCTTCAAATATTTTACCTTGATTATATTGTGTAGTGAAAGGCGCTATACAAATGTCATTTTGTGGTTGTATTCATTGATATTTTGTTTTAATACCCATTGAAAACCCATCTGACTTATACTTCGCACTTCCCAAAAGAATTGATTTCTATTTGGAGTATCTGACTGATAGCAATCTATTTTACAACCCGAATTGATGGATTTATTCAAATATGAAGTTAGTCACCAAACCAACTTTTATTATTTCCCCAAATGTTGCTGTACTGTCAATCCACCGAAGATACATGTACTTGTATTGCACCAGAAAGAACACAAGGACATCTAGTGGCATGAAATGCTTATTGCACAAACTTGATCGATTTTAAATTAATTTTGATTGGAATAACAGAAAAGGAATGACTAATTTGGTTTTGTAATCAAGAACATAGATAAGAAAAACTTGAATAAGTTTATTGGATACTGTCTTATTCAGCTTGCCATGGATATCGTATAATAGATTTTATGAACAATATTTTCTCAATGATGTCAGTATTCATTGTACTTGATTGTGAAATTGAGATGCATCAATAGTCAATCACTAAATACTAGAATAAGTCTTGAAAGCTAGGTAGGCAGGAGTTTCACAAAAAGTTGGGAAGCTATTCTATTGGGTTTCTGAGTTTGCATGAAACTCCTCAATTGTATTTAAGATCCATACTTAAATTGTAACTTATGTGTACTTTATTTATAATTGATGTGTTGCTCTCTTTGATCATACAGGTGCAATCCTTTTCGCTGGACGAGTTGCAAACCCTGAAGCTGCCAACGCCTGAAAATCCAGTAACAAATTGTCAAAATAGCTGGCCAAGAAAGAGCAGTGTCAATGCATGCAAACTCGTGGATGAAAACCCAATATTGCTTACGATATTTACTTTACTTTTCTGGCTTCTACACAAATGTTCACTAACTGCAACACCTACTAGCAATTGATATACAAATGTGTTGATTGAATTGTGCCCGGCATTCGAGTGGAATTGACAAAGTACTATAAGTGTCACTGAAATACCCATTCATGCTTCAATTTTGTTTTAAGTAGAATGCTTGACATTGAAAATAACCATCCTAAGTCGAGGAGAAGATGGAATTTCAAAATATCCACAATCCAAATACATGCCCTTATTATGGGTGGTTCGAAATTTATCAAAGTATCCTGAGAACTAAATAACATTTGACTCAAATTAGCAATAACAAAAAGAATGAGATATTATAATAGAGAATAAAAGTACCTTGCTACTGTAAATTGGATTACAACTTTCACATGTAGAAATATTATTTCCAGTAACAAGAATATCTAACTTAAAACAAATCCATTCCATTTCCAGAAGCGAACTGCTGTAAGGGATGTTTCGTATTCTCTGCAGTGTTTTGAAGTTCAATAGAGAATTTAATATTGTTCGCTAAAATATCTAAAATGTGAAGATTTTGTAACCTTCTGAGGTGAAATACTGCTTTATACTAAACCAATATAATGTTCCATTAAGTCCTAATAAAATACAGTTCTCATGAATCAATATTTCCTGAATTAAAATGGCTTAAATTACCAAAAGGTACTGTGCTATAATTTACTACTTAAACAACTAAATGCTAGGATTAAATTGTAGAAAGAAAAGTGACTTGATTCCTAACAATAGTCTTTGTATAAGGTGTAGGTAATTTTTGTTTAATTTTTACTTATCAAAGTCAAGTGAAATTTCAACCGGTCATTTGTACTTGTTTTAATAAAAAATGTGGATTTAGTATATAATACCGAGTGGACGTTTGTCGGATTGTTCAGTTGCCAAAACCTACATGAATGGCTCATTTGGAAGAGGACTTGTTCGAATTTTGCTTCCAAATTGCAATGCAAATCTGTCTACAACTGCAACAATGGCTACAAGGGAAGTATAGCTGTTAATTTGCCCATTTTTAGGTGACCGGTCGGTCAACTGGCAATAATATCACATCAGCTATTGCATTTATCCACTCAGCTAATGTAAGCTTGCTTGGTACACTTTAAGCTCATGGAAAGTGATCGTGCTTCATCAGTTTTGAAGTTGTATTGCTATCAAATTGATTGCCGAGCTAACTAACTTACCAGCTCAAATTAGGATAAACTTTTAGTATGGATGATACATCTAAAGAAAATCCGATATAGATTGATATATATTATAACAGACTGCAGTATTCACAATATTATTGCACAAACAAAGGAAGATTCCAAGCACAGAAAAAGATTTCTTTTGAAGACATTGTGAGACAACTGTCTGCAGTTGCCTCACAATTTTCTAATCAACCATGTAAGAGGCTTTCTGTGTAATTTCTGTGTAATACAGTACTGCAAATGATTGGATAACTCCACGCTTAAATCCACTGCATTAAACACAGATGGAAGAATACTGTATGTGGAATGGATCACCCAGGGAGACAGTGGAGGCAGATTATGTCAGCAAATGCAAGAGGGAATTAGTTCATCATTTGGCAAATAAATCGATTGAGAGCAAGAGCAATGTATGGATGGATGTTACTCATTTTGGGACCCGTGAGATGGTTATTGCCTGTTCATTCCAATATTCGCTTAATATATATCCTTGATAAAGTTTCTATCAGTCTATTCATTTTGCACTGTATTGACTGTTACTTGGGTTTGCGTCACTCCTTTTCAAAGTTTTTCTTATGAAAGAATTATATACTGTAGTTTGCATGGTGCAACTTCAACATTCAAATCTCAATTTCCAACCTATAATTCCGTTTTTTAATTTTGTTCTAAGATGACAATTGAACTTACCATAAAATGTACTTCTTTGTCAGCTGTCTGTCCCTTTGGGTTTCTTTTTACTTAAAAAGACTGTTTTTGCTATCACACTGTGTGATATAACATTTGTATTATACACATTTGGGTATACTGTACTGTAATGAGGCTATCAAATTATACATGGTGCATTAATTTGAAACAAAATCAATGTTTCAAAGTTCAAGTGATATTAGGCTAGGGTGAATCAATTGTATGTAGAGGAAAACAAAATGTATAATGGGTATTAAATAATGGATAGGAAAATGTGTTCGCAGAATATAAATGATCCTTGCATTTGAGACAGCAACTATAGTGCCAAAAAAGGCCTCTGAGTACTTCACAGAAAATTGCTATGAAACGTAGTGACTGTGGTCTGTAGGCAAACGTGACAACCAATTTTCACACAACAGATGTGAAGCAAAGGAACCATTTTATCTGGAGGATTGAAGTCCAGGACAATGGGAGAAACTCCCTTTTCTCTTCGAATGGTACTGCGCGATCGTTGAAGTGTCCACTTGAAAACACGGCTATCGCTCTTTTTATGAAGACAAAAAATAAATAAAATAAAACATTCCTGGCAAATTCGACAGAAGGCCTTGGGCAAAGCGGGAGCGAGGTCTCGAAAACTGCAAAGTGTAGTGACTGCGCACAGCTTGTGGGTGAACAAAGTGTCAGAATATTTAGAGAGCCACTAAGTTGCTGGGTGGAGAAAAAAAAACAGCTGCCAATCACTTTGAAAGGCCACTGGCCCATCCCAATTGCCAACCTTTTTTTCCCCAAATCCCAGACAATAGGCAGCCTCTTCTATTGGAGACAATACGGTAGCAGAAAGTTTAAATGAGCCACTGTCAGCTGATCGGTTTCCAAAGGACAGGAAGATGGCGGCAGAAATCCATTCCAGGCCTCAGTCAAGCCGCCCCATCCTCTTGAACAAGATCGAGGGCCATCAGGACACAGTGAACGCCGCAGTGATCATCCTCAGGGAGGACGGGGTGGTCACGATCAGCGAGGACAGGTGAGCCATCACTGACACGAACAGCTGCCTGTCTCATAATGTTAAGAACAACCAGGGAAGCAGTGATCCAGCCTGCAAGCGATAACCGTGTAACACACTCACCCACACTTCCCACTTTGCTTGTTTTTTTATATATATCTACAACGACGACAACAGAATTACATTTGTATAGGGCCCTTCACGTCGCGAGGATGTCTCCCCCTCTCTAAATATGTATATCTGCAGGTTTCTTTGTAAACGAGCATCTTTTGGCTTTGTTGCTGGGATTAGATCTTAGAGCTCAGTGAGTTCCTGTGACTGTTTACATGGGTCAGGTCCGCATTGCAATGGCTGAAAATCTTTAATTTACAGTTTTTTAAAAAATATATATAGATACATTATGTACGTTTTTAAAAAAAACAAATCACCACATAGGCAGGTTTGTTGGGTGCAATGTCAACTTGGATTTAGGTGCCTGTATTTGTGTATATTGTAATGATTATTATTATTATTGTTCATGAAACTAGACAGTGTATATCAATAATACTTTCTCCTCTAATACGTTGCGATTCTTGGGTGTGTTTTATTTAAAGTGATATTGACTACATGAACAATCTTTTTTCAAATAAATTGAGCTACATTTCCATTGTGAGTGATGCAGTGATATATTTGTCTTATTGCGACTTGTTTCGCAAGCAATCTGCCCACACTTTTACATGAGGAAAATATCCCTTTAAGTGAAAAATATTCATTAAAAACAAAAAGCAGTCCTAGAAAAAGCAAAGTGAGTTTTTAAATATAAACAAGTAATTGTTTTAAAGGATATGTCTTGAAGCGTGTTGAAATAATATTTTTAAATGTAATCCGGTAAATTGATAACTCGTCACTTGTCTGCAAGGGCTCAGTGTATAAATACATAAATAAATGTGTCCAGGATATTGTCAGAATGATGACTTAAGTGGTAATGATAGGTTAAGCCAAGATTGAGTGATCAGGAGTTGACTGTATTTGTAGTTTTTTTAAATAACTTGGGTGCACCTTTTCAAATAAGGTTTCTGAAAAAGTCTCACTGTATTGGAATCAAAGGTTTGTGAAAAACAAGTAAAGTGTTTATCACATCTGTAGATTTGCCCAAAGTGCTTTGAAAAATGTTATTAATGTAGGATTTCATGCTACTGTGTAATAGGATTATAGGGTTGTGAAAATAGTTTCCATCTAAAATTACTCTTTGGTAAAGTCGTCAATTATTTTGTCATTGGGTGATCATTTAAACTCTGAGTGTGGGTGTTGAGGAAGTATGTGTGCGAACCAAATTTTGTCAAAAGTTTTCTTTAATCAACAAGAACCAGAGGTTTTTNACATGCTGTGTAGTTACTTCGAGTCAATTCTACAGATATTGACTGTTTTGGGGATGATGGAGGTACAAAAAATTGGCCTGGGGTTCATCGAAATGAGGACTGCTGTGATTTAATAGGACAGTTGGTTCGGTAGTGTTTGATTTTTTTCAATTGGACTTTTTTTTTAAAAAAGGAGCAAAGCAGTTTAGGAATAATTATAAACATGACCTTTATATTGTATCTGGATATTGCCAGCAATTTCCTTGACGCTGGATTTGGTTATTTCATTTCAGCCTTCGTGTTTACCACACATACTTGTTAGGATGAATTAGGCAGGTCAGCTGGCTCTGTGCTGCTGTATATTTCGTGTTTTAGTGTTGCATTAAGGAAAGCTTTTGTGGGATCAAATTGAACGCATTTGGTATGGTTGAAAATTACTGCAGAAATTGCGGCCTTTATTCCTTCCACAATACTGTTTGAATAACTTCCCCTGTAAATTGTGAGTGTGAATATCTCATCTCACTGTCTGACCCTACTTTCCTTCCTCAAACAACTTGCTTGTAATTTCTTTGAAGTTTCTTAGATAGAAAGAAAGAAAAATGCAATCATTGAAGTAAATAAAGCGAGATTTTGTGGAGAAGTGTTTCATTTATCACAATATTTGAATTCGATTCATTGCCCAGAAATGTTGAAGCTTGGAAAGTGCTCCATAGATAATTACTGTTAACCGAAGTGACTGTGCACTTGCATCCAAACATTAGTCGGTTTGTGCACAAAAATGCCTTCTGAATAACCAATAGCTGGTTAGGACGGCAGGAGTAACTTGCTACTCTATAGTGCTAAGGGATCTTTAATGTTGTGTACCTGTACAGGTAGATGGGACCCCGTTTTAATGTTTCATCTGAAGGGTGGCACCTCTGACAATGCAGTTCCCCTCCACCCTTACCACACTAAAGTGTCATCTTGGATTATCCTTACATTGTCCTCCTGTAAAACCTTTCCAATGGGAATGTGTAGAAAGTCAAGAATCTCCCATTTATTGTCTCACTCATTTCTCTTTACAGAACAATACGGGTGTGGCTAAAACGAGATAGTGGTCAGTACTGGCCCAGTATATTTCACACTGTATCAGGTGAGTGAAACGATTAAAGTAAGATTTAGTAATGCTTCAATTGTGCTCCTATTACGTATCTAGTCCTGAACTTAAGTTTCATCCCCAGAAGATTTGGTTACAGACACAACAATGTATAATATGTTAAACAGTCAAAATCCAGGAGAATGTCTTTTGTTCAGGGTGTAATATAATGCAAGTTGTACTTGTTGTTGTTGATCTAATCAGAATGCAGTTAGAGCAGTCACAATATTTATCTGCTGATTTTTCTCACCATACAAAAGTGGTGCAGAGAATTACGCTGCCAGATGTGGGTTGTGAGCTGCGAAATCTATTTCCGCTTTTTCACTAGGCTGGCATCTGATTTTACTTTTAAGTGTGCAATAAAGAGCTACCGATGAAATAAACTTTAAAATGTATGACAGATTGTTTCTATATCTCTGCGTTACTGGCCAATATATTTATTAAAGAAAACACCATCTCAGATTTCTAAGTTTCAAATTGCACACATTTTATATTACATAACTAAACTATGCAGTTCTGACTGTAAAATAAAACTTGGAAAATATACAACGATAACTTGCATTATATAGCACCCTTTGTGGCAGAGCATTCATAAAATGTATGAAACAATTGTGGAGGAATTCCACTTTGTCTACCATTAGTTTATTTATGAAGCATTTTTAAATCACAACATTAACTTTGAAGCCTGTTTTCTTTAAGTTCCGTTAAAAACTCTAAAATAATGGCGTCACAGTTGAGACTGAGTTCAGCAGTTTGTCAAACTTTCGATGTAAATGGAATTGATTTAGACACAGGTGCAATTCCTCCCCCAATTGTTTGACATTTTATTTGGAGGTTTTAAAAAAGAAATCAAATGGCATTGTTTTCCGAAGGCAATTTTTGGATGGTCCAATTTAGGACCAGATGGATTGGCCTACCTGCCATGCGGTGGTGACCCATACTGTTGGTAAAAGATATTCCTCTTAGCTTAAGGCTAGTGTTGACGAATGTCAGCAATGGGAACTTGAACCTGTTGTGAGCCATGGCAATGTAAAGTGTTCATCTGGGGTAATGTTAAAATGTTTATTATAATAATGATCCTTTCATTTGATATAGCGCTTTTCACGTCTTCTAGACGTCTCAAAGCGCTTCACAGATTATACTGTGAAGCGAATTGACTGTATATTTGTGGGCGAAACATGGCAGCCAATTGTGCGCAGCAGCGTCCCACAAACAGCCGTGGATTGAAATGACCAATTTATTATTGTTTTTTTCTTTTGAGGGATTATTATCAGGCGTGTGGAGTAAGGAAACGTGCCCAAGGTTTGGCCCTGTTGGGAATCGAACCCAGGTCTCTCACTTGTGAGGCGAGTGCTCTAACCACCGAGCTACAGGACTCCACCTGAGCTGCAGCACTCTACTACAGGAATAATGCATTGCATGTTTCATTAAACTGGCCAATTTTGTAGTATTTTTGCAGTAGGATGGCCCTTTGCTTTCAGCTACAAAACTTTTGTTGCAATTAGCATCTTTTCAAGGACATCGTTTACGCTGGTCTCCACAATTTGCATTTGACAACACAAAGGGAGGATTGCAGCGTGTGACCAATTCTAACCCAGTAATGTTTGCCCTTAGAGATAGTGTAGCAAAAGGATAGGTATTAATATTGTAATGCATTGTGCAGTACTGCATTAATGAAGCACAGTCTTGCAAGTTCTGTTCATTTGGTGAACTAGAAGGACCAAAATGAACCAGGAAAGGCCGTGGTTTGAAGTATTGTCAACTCGTGCTTTTTTTAAAGTACTGCCCAACACATTATGTGGATGTCTATTCATTTAACTAAGCCCGATTTGTATGGGACAGTCACTGATGCAAAGGAAGTCGTAATTATAAACTGAGAAAAGTATGAACTTTGCATTTGTTGTGTTCAGGACCACTGGAATATTTTTAATAATGCTTTCAGGTAAAAATGTATATGTATTGTTAATTACCTGTCCTTATTTTGAACTTTCAAAGCACCCTGTTCTGCCATTTCCTACAATTCTGATAGCAAACGGATTTTTATTGGGCAGGATAATGGAGCAATTGTGGTAAGTATCTTTGGATGTTATGTCTTGTGTCTGTTCTTTTCGAAGGATCAAAGAGTATAATTGTTGAGCAACTGGGAATAATACAAAAGGCTTATTTGTGTCCAGTACTAGATGTAGTGTATGTATTGTACAGACTGTAGCTTGTCCCAAATGTACGAGTTACACCATAGAAGTAGTTTGTTATATGACTAAACTATAAACTATAAATTGCTTGTACCAGTGTGGCTTTCGGAACAGTGGGCTTGGGCTTTAATTATTTCTTTCTCCTCCCCCCACCCCCACTCCTCATTTTAACTGATTAAGGAGGAACATTTTATTGGATGCCTCAATCTCCATCTACTGATGCACTTATTCTTGCACTGAAGTGGCAGATTTGTACTGATGTTCTGCCACACTAACTCAAGGTCTTGGAGCCCTGAGGTTGAGTTCTGAATCTGTTGTGGTTTCTGCCTGACAGCTCTCAGAATTGGGAGTTCCATAGTAGCTTAGTGTAAGTTATAGTGTTGTGTTCATTCCATTGACCACTGGTGGGTTGGCTAAGTTAATCTATTCCTTCAAAAGTCCTACTAATTTAATGACCTCTACAAGATCTCCCTCAACCATTTTTGTTCCAGTGAAAATAGGCTCCATCTTCTACACATAGGTCAAAATATTCATCCTTCAATAATTGTGATTTTAACAGTTTGCTAGCAATAAAGACGCTACAAAACTGGACGTGTCTTTGCTGAGTAGCTGGTTGAAAACCAACATGCACATAAAGTCTACCAATAGTTTAATACTTATCGTTATCTAAAAGTAAAAGAGATAAAGAAATGCCTTCTTTATTACGGCTTCAATGACGTTTTTCAAATGATGTCATTCGAAATCCCATAGTTATTTGTAGCAAATTAATTTAACAATGTTTTTTCATCAGTCTGTTTTGCCATTCATCGAGCGCAGTAACATGAAAAAGAGAGTTGTGTTGTGCTCACGTCTGGATGAATAACACAATAACATTGAAGAGTAATTGTGATTTCTGTCTTCAGGAGTTCCTTGTGGCTGAAGATTTTAATAAGATGACTTATGTAAAGACTTACCCAGGTACGTTATCTGAATTAATAATAATCCTTGCATTTGATATAGTGCTTTATCGCATCTTCGAGACGTCTCAAAGCGCTTCACAGAATATACTGTAAAGTGAATTGACTGTGAATTGATTTTTGTGGGCGAAACGTGGCAGCCATTTGTGCACAGCAGTGTCCCACGAACAGACATGGACTGAGGGACCAAATCAATATTATTCTTCATTCACTGTGCTTTCTTTATGTGGTTTTGAGATTGCTTTAATGCTTCTGTTTATTTCAGCACGCTTTACAGTGAAATTTCGCCCACAAAAATGCAGTCAATTCACTTTACAGTATATTCTGTGAAGCGCTTTGAGACATCTAGAAGACGTGAAAGGCACTATATCAAATTCAAGGATTATTATTATTATAGGACGATAAGAGCAGAACCAGCTACTCCACAGTACCAGCAGGCTTGTGCTGGACAACTTCTTGTGGACACTCAGCTTTAACATTCTGCATTTCACTGAATATGTTCTTTCTTGACGACCTTCTAAATTGTAGAGTTACTATTCTGGAAGGATGATATCAAGTTAGCCATCGGTCTTTCATCAACAGGCCTCTCTTGTAATCAGATCCGATTGGCCTGGGGCTGGGAGAGTGCTCTGGATAAATGAGCGCATGAGCAGAATTGCTGATAAATTGTTCATTGAATCGGTTCAAGAACCCATCACATGACTACCTTCTGACTCTTAATTACATTTAAAATAAAGTCCTTTCAAAAGCCACCCAGGGCTCTTGAAGGGATTGTTTCTGAGTGGACCACGAATCAATATTTGTTACCTGCATTTACACTGCAGAAAATCAATGTATGCCAATGCTCGTCAGACTGACTCAAAGTATTGTATTGTTTTCAGCACGCTGCTAAACCCCTATTGTTTGTATTGTGCTTTATGCTGCTTTTACGGTTTATATATGTCTATCAATCTATTTGTACGTCTCTGTGTTTGTGAAGACTACGTATGGTTGTACTGTCTCTCCATTTGGCCTCCAGAGTCGCTACATTTCGCAGTAAAAATCCTGTGAAGTGCCTTGAGACCACTTCCTGATGTGAAAGCCACGATATCACCACAAAATATACAGGCAATTCACTTTACACTACGCGTCCTGTGAAGTGCTTTGAGACGCCTCAATGATGTGATAAGGCATTGTATTAAATCCAAGGATTATTATATTGAATGTAGCAATTATGATAGGATTATTATTGTGCACTACAAATAAATGCGTTGGTATAATTGGAGTGCAGCAAATTCAGTGGGTTTTTTTGTGGGGGCGGGAGAGGGAGCTGCTAAAATACTAAGTATTTCACGGACATCATGGTTCTCGGAGGCAGCTGGAACAGCCGTTTCAAATCTAATGATCCCAGCAGTTTGGCAACAGCCCTAAAACGCCATAATCCGGATATTTCTTGTTGAAATAATACCTTCTCTCTTTGCATTGTTTGTTCGATGACTGGCCCATTGCATATAGTTTGCTAATCCTTTGAGAGCTGAACAGAACCTTAAATTTTGCTTTTATTCAATCCAATCAATATTGAGATATTAAAGTTATGGAATTTCAAACTCTTGCTTGACTCTGTGTTGCTAATGTGGTTTTTGTTTTTGCCAAATTCAATTACTTAAAGAATCATAAGTTGTTAAGTGCTACTTTTAATTTTTAATGAACATTAATAGCAGGTATAGTAATGAGTCCAGCGCCTTGGGACGTCCTCCTGACGTGAAAGACGCTATACAAGTTGTTGTTGTAATGGAAGTTTTTACAAATGCTCCCAATTCAACAGTAATGTTCCTTTTTGTTGAATGAGGCAAAGGAGAAAGAGCTTTTCCATGTAACAAAATTTATTTCCAGAGTTGATAAGCGTTTGTTGTATGATTTTCTGTTTCTAAAAAAAAATTGATTAATGATGAATTTCTTTCTTTCTTGATAGCACATCAGAATCGGGTTTCAGCCATCGTGTTTTCACCAGAGACTGAATGGATTATAAGCACAGGACATGACAAGTACCTCAGTTGGATATGCACTAGGAGTGGTTGCCTTCAGGGCCGACATTGCTTTAGTGCATGGGCATCTTGTTTACAGTATCCTTTATATTTGTGCTACAGGTACTTAGTATTCTGCACGACTTATATATAATAATAATATGATAATCCTTGCATTTGATATAGCGCCTTATCATGTCTTCGAGGCGTCTCAAAGCTCTTCACAGAATATGCTGTAAAGTGAATTGACTGTATATTTTGTGGGTCAATCGCGGCAGCCAATTGCACACAGCAGTGTCCCATGAACAGTCGCGGATTGAGTGACCAATTTACTATTATTTTTTACAACAATAATTTCCATTTATATAATGCCCTGCACGCCAGACGGCGTCTTGTAGAGCTTGATACAGAATTAATATAGCATCTATAACGTCAAATGGTTCACTTTACAGCAAATTGCTGTCAGGTGTAGTGACTGTGTATTTGTAGGCAACTTTGTATTTTGTCACTTGTGAAAACGAATTCAGCTCCTTTCTGATGCATGAAGCAAATACCCATTTTATTTTATAATACTGTGCAACATACACAATTATATTTGGCTCCTAAAGAACTTGTTTTATTCCCTTTAAAATATTTGAATAAATCCTTATTTTGTAGTACGTTCACTTCCTGCAGCTAGGTTTGTGTTGGAAAACTTCTTCAGTCGCTGGTCTGTAACAAAAAGGGATCTTGTTTTCTTTGACTACTTGATCAGATATGATGTAGAAACGCAACACGCATTTGTAGGTGACTATTCCGGGCAGATCACGTTATTGAAGCTTGAACAGAATACTTGCAGCATCATTTCAACACTGAAGGGGCACGAAGGTGAGCAGCCGATCTTAAAGGTGGGGGCTAATCAAAACCAAAAGTGTTCAAATTTCCTTGTGTTTAGTGAAGCACAAAAATACTCGAACGATCACAAAAAATTACCTCCAGTGGCTCATTCGATTTGGCACAGGTGAACTCTGAGTCTGTTCTCGGCTTATTCAAAGTATTAAAGATGTCTTTTTTATAAAGGGAACTTGTTGGTGGAAGGGGTGAATGAGTTCCTACACCCGCTCTGCAAACACACAGAAATCAAAAGGCAGGCGTGGTGGTTGTGGGAATCCCATCAGTGCGATAGGCCAAAGTCTGAACTAGTTTGGGCAGTCTTAGCTGATCAATATTTTTGAATTTACAAAAAAAAAGACACTACATAAGAATCTGTGTTCGTATTGGATTTTAAGTTTAACATGTTTTTTTTAAATCTAACAGGCAGTATAGGAGCCCTTTGGTGGGACCCTATCCATCGGCTGTTGTTTTCTGGAGCATCTGATCATAGTGTTATCATGTGGGACATCGGAGGGAGGAAAGGCAGGACTTTATTGCTTCAGGGGCATCAGTGAGTGATGAATTCTAATCTTGCTGACGTCATGTCGAAGGCCCTATATTAAATGAAGGATTATTGTTATTGTTATTGTTGGAACCACAGTGCATCAGCTCTTAATGATTAAAATCATTCCACATGATCTGTTCAAATACATTGCAAAATGTTGGCTGTAAATGATGGCCATGGTCTCTACTAAACTTTCATATAAAACATTGCAGAGAATATCATTTCCCAAACCACCATATGAAAAAGTAGGTCGTTTCTTTTGTTGATTTTTTTTTGGCCTGATTTTACTGATTTATGTTTTTTTTCTAAAAAAGCACCCAGAGTGTTTGCAGACAATTTTTATTTGGCTGGATTGAAAAGCTGTGTAGGATATTGATTCCTGTCTGCATTACGTGCAAGGGAAGGATGCATTTGACGTGATGTGTCATCGCATTCAGTTTAGCCAAACCTCTTTTTGTTTCCATGACACTGGTGCTCTTTGTTGCTGAGTAATTGGATCTTCTATGGTAATGGGAGGGTCTTGTTAAAATGAGATTTTTCAATACTTGTGTCAGTACTGCAGTTAATTAATGTATCAGTTTGTAGTCTCACGTGACACAGTCCCTTAACTTTTTCATATGGTGGTTTGGGAAATGAGATTCTTTGCAATGTTTATGTGAATTATAATTGAATGAAGAACTGACTTTTGACTCAAGCCTCTACTTTATTGGTTTAACCTTATTTCAGACGATCCAGTGCCTGATTCATTCTTCCGTTGATAAATACCATCGATGTTTATTGTTGCTTTAAAATCAATTGGAAATCTGATGAAGTTTAAGGGACCATGAACCTACCATCACCGACATGTTTGAGATGGCAATTTAGTTGCCACCGATTCCGGACCCCTTAGTATATTACCATTCTTTTACCTTACTCACTTCGATGTGAATTGTGTGTGAGGGCAAGTGTGTCATACCTGCAGTCGTTAGTCGCTCTTGAAGATCAGATTGAGAACAGTACATCACAATCACGGGAACTTTTCAAACTCGCCCAGGGTTATTTTGTGGGCAAAACGTGGCAGCCAATTTAAATAGTCTGCCCCTTTAAATAGAGACTGCCAGCAGAACAGAAACTGCCAGCAGAGCAGACACTGATGATAAACAGCTTGGTGCAGCTTGCTCTGAAGTGCTGCCTTTGTGAACTCTACTTGAAAGGGCAACAACTTTTTCCATCTTGCGTCTAATATTTTTTAAGACGGTGGATGGAAAGTGTAAGCAGACAGAGTTCAAACCAACCCACTGCCCTGTTACTATCCAACAAACCACTGCAAGTACTGCCTGACTATATTTAGACCAGATTTGATTGCAACAGGAATTCTGCTGAGGTGCTAGTGTGGTAATAGCCTCATATGTGTTGAATGTATCTATTGAGCAAAGACTCTCCTATCCCTTCTCTGTGCTATGTGCATCATCTCGTGATTAAGTGGGGTCAAGGAGCGGGAGGAAAAAAAGCATGATACATACATAGTGTGTTGCTCTCTTCCCTCCTGAATACATTGAAGGTGAATCCTGCCCAGTGATATGGCATCATTTTATATCAATACAAAGCAGATATGTTCTTTGATTTCTCTGAAAATGTACCTGTAGTACTTTGAGGGTGATTGTAGCTCTACCGTATACTGTATTTTGTTCCTCATCACTGAATGCAGTTTTAATATAAGTTGCAAATTATCCTTTCTCTGTGGTTAATTTTGCTTTTATCATCGGTTGCTCTTGAGGCAGTTCAGAGGTGAGCAAGCCAGCCTGACTTAGGCTTGAGAATTCTCAGTTAGTTAAGGAAATCCTCTTTGGAAAAGAGATCTTAAGATGAATTTAAGGTACTAAGATTATAAAGGGGATCAACAAAAATGATGAAAGCAGGAGGTCAAATACTAGGATAACAATTATGGTTTCAATACCTTCAAAGGTATCATCCTTCTAAAAACATTGCCCTCTTATTTGCTGTTTGCCACACTCCAGCTAATTCATCCCAGTAGATCACAGTGTACATGGGGAAACAGAACAACTATCCACATAACGGGTTACACAATCATTGGGTTATATATAGGTCATATATTAAATGCTTCTGATATAGTGTTTGTGAATGGGGCAAGTGGAGCGTGGGCAGCACATGTGTGTCAAGACTGTGATGTCTCGGTGAACATGAAGTGCTACTTGCCAAACTCTTGTGTTCTTTTTGAAATAGTTGAAATGGTAACCTTCAACTTCTTTCTGAATTTTGCATTAAAGTATTTGTTTCCACAGCCTCTCACTAAATGCCTAATGGAGTATCAGACTAACGCTGTTTAAAAATGCTTTGGTTTATTTACAGTGACAAGGTACAGGCTCTGTACTACGTGCAACTAACAAGGCAGCTGATTTCCTGTGCAGCGGATGGTGGGATTGTAGTTTGGAACATGGATGTGCAGAGAGAGGAGGTAATGTTCGATTCCTCTCGCACGTTAGATGTGCTGTCATTAACCAGGATCCTGATTGTAACCAGACATCAGTTAAGACTTTCCCAATACAGTGTAAATTATTATTTGTTAATATTTGTTTAACCCAAGCACTTTTTAGATCCGAACAGTTCTAGGAATCTTTGAGACGTCCAGTTATTTGCTGCAATGGAGATTGTAACTTTTCACTGTTTGCACACAGGCTCCACAGTGGCAGGAAAGTGACTCTTGCCAAAACTGTAACCAGCCATTCTTCTGGAACCTGAAGCAGATGTGGGACACTAAGAGCTTGGGTTTGCGACAGGTACGCAGTGCAGTTCTGAGATATTCTTTGGAAGCATTTTGAGTGCTGAGAGAGTGATAAGAATAATAATCCTTGCAGTTGATATAGCAGCTTATCACGTCTTTGAGATGTCTCAAAGCGGTTCACTGACTATACTGTAAAGTGAATTGACTGTATTTTGTGGGCAAAACGCGGCAGCAAATTGCGCACAGCAGTGCCCCACGGACAGTCGTGGATTGAGTGACATTTTTTTTAATTGTGTGTGTGAAGACTTTTGCATATGCTCCTTTCCCCACCACCCCATTCACCTTTTTCCTTTTTTCTGATATGTGTCTTTCTTTTCTCTCTATCCAATTTTTTGTGAAGTACAAATGCACTCTCCTGCTCTGTCCAAATGGCCTTTACGTGTGAGCTTTGAATGGTGAATACCAGCAGGTTATTTGACTTTGAGAGAGTATTCCTGCTGAACCCATCCCTGTCCACGCTTGGAAACTTTCAGCAGCCGTTGCTCAATAGCAATTCGTAGCTAATTCTTCCCTCCCCTATGTGAGGGTTGTAAATACTGCTTTAGAGCTTCTCGTCCCACCTAGTTGAGATCCACTAATTCCTCATAGACGAGAAACTAATGTTGGGGCCAACCTGGTCTGTATGGCTTAGCTATGAGCTGAATCAAACTTCTCTCTGTCAACCGAGATTTGTTTTGACTGACCGGCTGCGCATCTGAATTATTAATGCCATGTTTCCACTCACATTCATTCTAGGGCGTTATCAGTCTGTGTAAGCACCACTTCCTTCAGACTAGTCTGTGAGGGACCTTTCAAAATTGTGGCTAGAGGAATTTTAAAAAATCTTAAGAATGATAGAGCTAAACTAACTTTATTTTAACGTACCTTTTCCTTCTCCCCCATTCAGCATCACTGCAGAAAGTGTGGCAAGGCTATATGTGGAAAGTGCAGTTGTAAGCGTTCAACCTACCCTATCATGGGCTTTGAGTTTCAGGTACGAGTGTGTGATGACTGCTTCACCACGATCAAGGATGAAGAGTGAGTACAACTCAATGAGCATTTTAGGTCTTTGGCTGACAGCTTTGTTTCTTACCAAAGGGGCATGTTTCAAAGTAATCTGGGACTTTGAAAGGAATGCTTTGTATTTCAGCTTCTCAAGAAATGAATCAATCAATTAGTTTGGCTATTGGTTGACTAGCTCCTAATTGTCCCCTTATCTATAAGTGTTGGCTTCACACCTTCATTCCAGTGAGAACCAAGTCCTGCTACCTGTTCCATAAAATGCCAGCCTGGCTCAGTTGGTAGCACTCTCACCTCTGACTCCCATGTTGGGAATTTTTCCTCTTAGTCCAGAGGAGGAACGTTGCATTGTCATAAGTGCCATTTCTTGGATGAGACATTAAACCAAGGTTTGGTTTGCCTGTTCAGCTGGATATTAAAGATCTCTTGGGACTATGCAAAAAGAAGTGTTTCTTCTGGGATCCTGGATAACAATCCACCAGATATATTTTTAAAAACCTTAGTCATTGATTTCATCAACAACAACAACAACGCCCTTCATCACAGGGTAGCGTCTCAGAGTGCTTTCATGTTTTATACAGTTTTTGTTTGCTGGTAAAGGAGAGTTCTTTTTTTATTATAGTCGAACTTCTTTGGCAACATTTCATGAAGGCAAACATAGTATCGCTCATATGCACTTAGACATTACAAGAGGACTGATGGTGACCTGTGGAAGTGATCGCATTGTAAAGGTATTTATCCCCTTAATTCTGCCGAGTTTTCTTTTTTAACATTACATTTACAAACTTAGAGGGTTGGAAAGAGATGCGGTTGGCAAGTTGGGAAAATGCTCCGTGGGCCAGAAGTGATGTCTCGACCGTTGAACGATTTATTTGCCCTCAGAAAATACTGTTTGTTCACGTAAATTAACACACTCTGAACCTGACAAATTGATTGTGTTGAGCGCAGTTCTCCATAAACGACTTGGCTGAAGTTCTGTAGTTGGATTTCAGACTACGAGTTAATCAGATAATGTTTAATTGAGGATGGGGCAATCAGCAAATGTGAGGGGTAAGACATTGAGGGGAGGAGATAAACTGACAAACAGATGCAAGTCTTCAGTCATTGGAGGAAGGAAAGTTGTGACCAAGGAAGTTTTTGTTATTTGCCAATGTGGGGTGTAAACTTATAATAATAATATTCCTTGCATTTGATACATAGCTTTTCTTCTAGACGTCTCAAAGCGCTTCACAGAATATACTGTAAAGTGAATTGACTATATTTCTGGTCGAAACGTGGCAGCCAATTGCGCACAGCAGCGTCCCACAAACAGCAGTGGATTGAGTGACCAAATTATTATTGTGTATTTCTTTTCTTGAGAGATTATTATCAGGCGTGTGGAGCAAGGAAACTTGCCCAAGGTTTCACCCTGCCAGGAATCAAACCCAGATCTCTCGCTTGCGAGGCGAGTGCTCTAACCACAGGACTCCGCAGGACTGATGGGGGTGGGAGGGGGTGAGAAAAGCATTGAAGATATTTCTGAAAATGCCAGTAGAATAATTTAGTCTGTATGGTTCAGTGCTATTCTAATCCCAAGATTGCTTCTTCAGAATAACCTTTTCTTATCTTTTTTTTCTTTGCTCATTTAGATCTGGGACATGACACCAGTTATTGGTTGCAGCCTGGCTACTGGCTTCTCTTCCCATTGACCTCTGAATTCCTGATTGTGTACCTTTATGGAGACCAGGCAAAGTAACGGTCTGTTACCATGGAGTCAGTGCTATTAAAACTGAGTGGAAATTCCAGCGATAGATTTCCTTTTTGCCTGAGCGACTGGATATTGACCAGTTTGTGTCAAATACTGTAAAGCACAGCAACAAACCGTTTAGAAAAAAATACTTTTTGTGACTAAAGCAATGTAAAATAGTACCAATATGACACATAGTAGATTTGTTCTATATTTATTCCGCATAACCTGATTAATAAATGTCTGATGAAGCAAAAGTTCTCTCTCTCTGCAAGATAATTTTTAGAATGCACTATACGAAAGTCTGATCCTGATCGTAATGCAATTTAGATGTTATGAATTACAGTAATTCTGGGTGTGTTTACAGCAATTGTTTTTTTCAGTGTTTGTTTAAATTGCACAGGACAAAATAGTGCAGTTTATGGCCAGGCACGGATCAACAGGGGCACTTTATGGGAGTAGAGGCAACAATTTTTATAGCTTTGGGAAAATAGTTTTAGTTTACGAAGAAACTACTGTACAGTCAATAATTGTAACTTGCCATTGATGATCTGCATTCTACTGTGATGCCTAAACAATGAGTGTACTTCCTTTTTGAACTAAGCCACAGAAGCAGTGCTTAGTAAGTCGTGTAGTAAGTGCTTGAGGTGTGCTGTACAACAAGTTTTGGCTTTTTATGACCCCTTTTGTGGACTCAGCAAAGTTAGCAGTTATCCATTTGTTCATATCAGTGAGTCTCTGTAAAGGGCAGAAGCTCAGATAAGGATACATTGGTGTCACTCAGCTATTGTTGTGGCACTTGGTTTGCCCACAGATTTTTGGGAGCAGGAGATGGAAGAAAGGTGGCTTTATTAATCTCACAGTAATAAATTGCTTAACAAAAATAGCTTTGCAATTTACAAATCTGCCCTGTAATGCTGCATTGTTTGAAAAGTGTCCCGTTTAGTCCAAGTAAGGTTTGGTCTCAGCCTTCAATTGTTTAAATCCCTTTGGTTTCTGAGAGGTAGTAATTTTGTCTCTATTGTTTTTCAAGATTGCTATGTTTTTCTATTGCACAATTATAAAAGCTGGTACAATTTTTTTTTGTGCGTCTTATTTCACATTGGGGGAAAGAGATGGAAAATGGCTTTCTTACAATTTAAAGTTAACTAAAAGCTCTTTCAGCGCTCAAAAGGCTCAATATTTGTTTGCCTTTGCTAAATGTACAATAATAATAAATCAATAATCCTTGCATTTGATAAATTGGCTTATTACGCCGTTGAGACATCTCCAAGGAGCTTCACAGAATATACTGTAAAGTGTAGTGACTATTTTGTGGGCGAAATGAGGTAGCCAATTGCGCACAGCAATGTCTCACAAACAGTCGTGGATTGAGTGACAATTATTATTTTTAAATTCTCATAGGGAAAATGAGTTCTCGGACATTGTTGCCCACCATTTCTGCTTTGCAGAACAAGTTAATACTTGAAATCCTTTCTAACGACTTATTTCTGACACCTAGATTTTTTTTTATTCCCCTCTGCTGAAGCAATGTATACATTTAATGTTGAAAATGATCTTGTAGGTTTAGAAAATTGTATTTTGGTGCAGAAGCCTTTTTATACAACATTAAATGAAAATATAAATGAAACTGTTTATTGAGAGCAACACACATAAGGTGTCTATAACTAAATGTTTTACAAACAGCTGTGTATAAACCTGTTTTTCTAAGCAGCACATTTGAATTGTCAATTCATCATATAGAAGGATTCAGAGTATCACTTAATGGCCTGTTATTTCGCAAAGAAATGACCATATAAATGACCCTATATTTTATGCTGCTGCTGGACTTTCATGATGGCTTTGTGTTCTGCTTTTTACTGAATTGTAATCAACTTACTGTCATAAAATAAACTAGCTTCTTGTAAAAGAATCTTTGGGTATATTGCTGTTCAGAGTCCAATGGATGACCTACAAGCGCTTCACACTTACTGAATGCATGACCTGAATAAAAAACACTGCTAAACTACTAAATCTGATATTTACAGTTTCCTAAACTGCAAAAAAAAATTTGCAGGATGTGAAACTCCAGTACTGGATTTTAAAAGCTGTCTTCTTTCTACCACCAGGTGGAGACTGGCATTTATAACTTTGAGATGGAATGCCTGAACATCTATAATAATAATGATAATACTAATAATTCTTGCATTTGATATAGCGCCTTATCACATCTTCGAAACATCTCAAAGTGCTTCACAGAATGTACTGTAAAGTGAATTGATTGGATATTTGGTGGGTGAAACCTTAGTGTTAGAATGTTATATCATAGACAAATATTTGTAGATACTTGACTTTAGATCCTTGTGTATAAAATCTTTGTGTGCGCACTTTTTGCTGCCTGCCCCAAAGTGTGGCTGCTTTTATTCAGCACAGTGGAAGCCTTGTGCTATGGATCAGATGAAGATAAAATGGCAGGAGAACCAATTACTGTTGGTCACTATCTATCTGATTCAATAGTTGCCTAATCCCGATCGGGATTGCAAGTGATTTCATTTATGTTAGTAATAAAACTATAGGCACTCTTCAAGTGTGAAGAGTACGTTAATTAATGCTAATGTTCCTTGCATTTATAATTGGATTGATATTACTAAATAATGAAATAGCATCTTGTATAATGGGATTAACCAGTTATACAGATGAACAATAAACATCTGAAGCAAAAAATTCCCCTTTGATAATAGCAACTATCGGTCTCCAAAACCAAAGATGGAACAACCCTGAAAAAGATCACTCTAAGTCCTTGTTGAGGCTTTGGTTTGTTGGAAAATTCCTCCCTTGTGATGTTTTCCTTCTGTGGTGGATGTGGTCCATGCGAGGGGTAGTTAGATAGGTTGAAATAATCTTGCAATGTATTAAGAAAAGCCATCAAAATTATGCTCAGCTCTTGGCCATGTAAAAGAGTAACCATCCTTGTTGTCCTACCAATTGCATAGTTCTGTGGCTATCAGGCGAAAGAAGGAACTATCTCAGTCGTAATGCTCGCAACGCTAATGACATGGCAGGACTCATTGTCCAGACTTACTGGTGAAGAACGGCTACTTTGAGGTATTGTAAATCTGCTGATCTCCTAGTCTCTATAATATTCCCCAACACCAAGGCATGTGACTTGCAGGTTTTGATCTGACAAAATGCCTTATGGTTATACAGTAGTTCCACTAATAGTCTTGGCACACGCATTCCCAGCTCAGCAGTACTGATGATTCCACTACAATTGGTGGTTATCACATAGTGGAAGACACCCACGTCTTCTAAAATATCTTAGTTATTTGACAGAAGGAATCTTACCCTGGAAGAAGAGGCCAGTGGGTTTTCTTCTGACACTGCCAGCCACACCACAGTGTCTGCACCTTGCTGTGGAAACCTCATTAACTGGTGAAAATCTGGCATTGCTGACCTTACAACAAGAGAGGCACACAGATGAGTCAACAGCTAATGAGCTACTGCTGAGAGATAGGCAATGAGGATGAGAGTAACTGTTGGAGCCAAAAGGAAAAAAATGTTCAGACATTCACTATTCAGCGAATAGTGAAGGGATGTAGTGACTATTACTCTAAGCTATGGATGAGCAACTGTTGTTCTTTCTACCACCCTTTACATCCGTGATAAGGCGCTATATCAAATGCAAGAAATATTATTATATTCTCCTTTTGAGAGCACCTGTGAAGCCACATCCCATGGTGCAGTGTTAGGACTTTTAGATTTTCAAAATAACTTATTAGAAGTGTTTTTTTTTGTAGTTTCATGGGATTTTATTGTGGATAGATATTATTTTTGGCACTTTCATAATCTTGCCCATACTTTATTCCTGGATATCATGCATCTCATCAAAGCCAGATACAATTCCTCTAAAGGGGTTATACAATCCAGGAGGGGAAAAATGGATTCAGAATAATCTTTCCAAAGAAACCAGCACACAGAAAGTGGTTTGACGTCATTCACAAAGGGATCCTAATGGGATCAAAGCAGCAGGAGAGACAAAGCAAATCTAATTATAAACAGAGCGCCTTTCCACACAGACTATAAGCATCATTCAGTGCAAGGCTTTTAGAAATATGTACAAGAGAGATCTGATAAATAAGATAGCTAAGTAGACAGTTGTGACATAGGAAAAAAACAAGCGGAGAAAAGGATATTTTAAGTCCCATCAAATCTATTTTTCCACTGACCATGTGCAATATGCTTTAACGTGGACTGAATCCAAACAGTTTAATTTTGTGAGTATCGATTCGGCAAAAGTACTCTCCAACCCTTCAAGCAAAGGATCAAAGCCTCTTATCTAATTTTACATTATTCAACCCTTGCTGGCTCCTTCCGCTTTGCAGAAGCTGATTTCAACAGTTCATTCTTAAAAGGTTTTTCAGGCCCTAAACATTTGCAGCCAAACAGTGCCGTTCAAAGATGGTTAAACACTTCTTAGCAGGAAGCTCAGAATCTGAGGAGAATGTATATCATGTGCTTGGTTTGGTGAAAATATTTTCAACTATTGAACCTCAACAGATTTTACAGTGGGAAGGGAAAGAGATGAGAGAGCCAGTTTTCTAAAGAAATTTAAAGTCTGATCGGAGCAATTTCTGAGGTTTTATAAAATTCAGATGAAAAGAGATGCAAGGATTCGGAGGAAAGAAGTTTTGCAGGAGCTTCTGTGCGGAGGATTGGATATTTCCAGGTAGGATTGAATGAGAAGCCCAATCCTGACATCCAGGCTTCGTGTGTTTCATTAGTCTTGGCAGGACCTAGAAAAGTGGAATATGGTAGAAAGGCTCACTGGGATGAGAGTATGAATGCAGCTCATATAGTACATATTTACCTGGTATATCTCCTCACCCAGGGTGCATAACTGAGAAGTGTTCCTGTACATCTTTGCCCACCTGTTGACGCTGGAATTATACAAGGGGGAAAAAAAGCTACAGGTAATACTCCAATATTAGTGTTGCACAAAGTAGAGAAGGGGGTTTCTCTTGGTGTCTTGGCCAACAATAAAACCTGTCATTCAACTTTAAGATTGTTTGTGGGATATTGATATGTGAAAATTAGCTGCTGTGTTCGCCTACAAACGATGGACTTCTTGGCATAGAATATATTAACTTTACATCCCAGATATGTGAGTAGAAGGTTCTGCGCTGTAACCTAGTTTTGTCCGCACGACCTTCTCAAGATCGTTAAAAGGACTGTTGTGTCTAAAAAAAATATTCACAGATGGGGTGGGGGAGGGTGGGGTGGGGGAGGTTAGCAGGGAGTTCCTGACGCTGTTGTGTCTGAGGGGGCTGCTCTGATGCACTATTGATGATTAATGTTATTATCACCATCGTATTGTTATAGCCACAATGTCCAAAATGTTCATTTCCCAAGGTCTTTGCTCTAATGTTTACTTTTCTCACAGCTCTGTATCCTAATCGCTTTAAACAGATTACTTGCGAGAACAAAAAGCGCAATCAACACTTATTTTGTGCGTGTACTATTGTTCCATCAAAGCAGCCTGACTTGGACTCGAAGCTCTCTGTTTCCAGTTTTTGAACCAACATTCCTCCAGAGGAACACAGTGATCTGGGAGTAAGGCCAGCATAAGGTAAATGTGGCTTTGTTTTCCAGTTTACGAGTTTGCAGAACTTAGGAAACGGTTCAATATATTGAAACTAGAATCCCCGCGTGGAGTGAGTGTGACCTCAGAAAGCTATTGTCTGCTGCAATCTCTTCCAGAATGGAGGAGACCAATTTTAACTGCTCAATTCCAACACATGTAAGCCATCTATAAATAACCTATGAAGGTGTGAGGTGAGAGCCCTTCTCCTGTACATATAGCTTTAATACCACCAGCGAGGAATTGCTAATGTGACCTGCTTCTGTGACTCGTTTCCAGCATTTCCTGGTTTAATTCAGATCTCCAGCTGTGGAGGATTTTCGTTTTATCTCGATTATTAGTACTGGGTTTCTACCAAACTCTTAGCAACAAATTAAGAAATTAAAACAAAAGAGAAAACAAAGCGACTCGTCACATCAGGATCAGTACTCTCTTCAAGTAAGGGAATCAGACGTGTGGTAAGGATGTCGGTTCCTTAGAAAATTAATGTGCTGCTTACAGGTTAAGGAAAACCAAAGAAGTGACATGTTTCTGTCACCTTATCACATCCAAACATTTCAAAGCGCTTCACAAATGATTACTGTACTGTCAAACTGAGAATAACTGTGTAGTTTTGCACTGACTTAATTAAAAGTCTTCTTGGTGTTAATAACGCAGTATGTTTTGAGAATAAACCATCTCTTTTGAATTTTTCTCTCCCCCTTTCTTGGGTTTCCCGGTACCATATCCTATCTCGGGCTGGCCTTCTCCCAGCCTCTGTTTATCGGCCTTCCCAACTCCTCCCTCCACAGGCTGCAGATAATCCAGCCCATGTCCTCTCCCGCACCAAACTCCGTGACCCCATCTCCCCCACTCTCGCCGGACTCCACTGGCTCCCTATCCTTCAGAGGAACCAGTTCAAGATCCTGGTCCTCACATACAAAGCCCTCCATGGCCTCGCCCCACCCTACCTCTGCGACCTCCTAACCCCCTACCAACCTGCCCGTTCCCTCCGCTCAGCCGGCTCTGGCCTGCTCCACCCGCCCCACCATTGGCGGGAGAGCCTTCAGCCACTGTGCCCCAACCTCTGGAATTCCATCTCCCATTCACTCCACCTCAACCCCTCCTTAGCCTCCTTCAAGTCCCGCCTCAAGACCCTCCTCTTCGACCATGCCATCGGCCACCCCCCTTCCCCTCCCCTCCCTTCCGCCCCAGACCCCAGCTCGGGTCTGAAATGCTGTTCTTTGTCCAGTGCCTTAGGACGTCCTCCCGACGTGAAAGGAGCTATACAAATGTAATCTTGTTGTTGTTACTGCTGTCTAGAGGTCAAAATTGCTGATGCCTAGTTGGTTTCCATAGAAGCTAAATCGACTGCATGGTAGCCAAACACATCCTTATTTTATATTCAACGTTCATATACATTGACCCCCTAACAGAAATTGCTGATACACTGATCCGGAGCAGGAGCCCTTGATTTTTCCCAGGTTCAAACAACGACAAAAAATTATATTGATATATACAGTCAGGGATTTCGTCCTGAGCTGAGGGTTGGGAACAGAAGAGGTGGAGGGCAGGGAGGGTGAGAGTAGGAAGGTGACGGAAGGCGCGGTCGCGGTCGAAGAGGAGCCAGCAATGAAGGTGCAAAGGGTTGACAGGATTTATCTAAACTGATAATCCTGTGGCATAAAGCTTTGCTACCTCCAGAGCATTTGCTTTGCCAATGATACTATTAGAGCCTGTGATCCCATACGAATTCCCTGTAAACATTTACTTCCAGGTTCTGGGCAATAAAATACCTTCATAACTACTTGTGAAATGCAAATTAAGCTAAACCAGGAAGAAATCGGCATTTTCATTCAAGTCACTCACTCAAGGGTGTTGTTTGCCTTCCACAGTGTAGGAGGGCAGAATAAATTCAGGTACAAAGTTACACAGATTGCTTTACACGTCTGGGCTAAATTTAAAACAAAACAGGATTTTCATACCATTAAAAACCTTTCAAAAATTAAACCGTGATCAAATTGTTTACAAAACATGAAAGAGTACTTTTGGAGTATTTGGGGAAAAAGGGACTTGTGCTCAACAACAGTATAAATAAAGCAAGCCATGAAAAATTTAACTGCACTTGTGTTTACATTTTCTATTAGTCACAAAGGATTGTTTTACCAACCCTAGAACACTTAAATAGCAGGGAGATTTTTCATTCAAGACCCAAATGTTACACTCACAGTTAATGATTCGGATAATTATTATTATTTATTATTATTATAGGCAATGTACAAGTCTTGAAACAATGACTCGAGTGTTAAAACAATTCATGACATGTTTACAAGGAGTTTTCCTCTACTCTGTTTGTGCAGTACGGGATAAGGATAAGAATGAAAAGATCCGACTTTAAGATAACGAAAGCACGAGGAGAGGTTAATCCCTTTGCTTCTTAGTTAATGTGTAATGCACAAGCAGGTTCCAGGGCAGAGATCCTGGACAGGGTGGAGCTTTCACTTCAAAGAATTGTGGGATTTCAGGAATGGTTTCCTGAAAGTCAGCTTCTCAGGAAATGTTTCCTCCTCAGATTTGGGAAACGTTAAGCCATCGGGACCTTACGCTCTGAAGAAGAATGGTAAGTCCAACTTCTTTTCAAGTGCTCGGTGGATCTCAAAGTGTCTGACAGTGCCGAGGACCGGGCTGTAAATGTCAGTGGCATTTTGAAATGTCTGTACCTGTTTGTGCAGGTGTAGTTAACACACCTGGTCTAACTAAGATGTGGCAATTACTTTGAATTAAGATCAGGGCATCTGCGGTGCACAGTGACACTGACTTGTACATTTCGATAAGACGGAGACGAGAATTTGTACTATTAGTAGTTAAACAATTTTGGTGAAACTCCTCAGCCACTTTGCTGTACATGACTGCAGCACCTGATAACCTGGCTGAACAGGTTTTTCTGCATTGCCGAGATTGAGGATAGGGCTGTTCAAATATTTATTTGAAATTTAAGTAATTTACTCCCTTGTAAAAAAAAATTATTGAATGTCAAGACCTTTAAGACTAATGAGTTGCTATGTCTAATTTCACACTCCTTGTAAAACAGATATGCAGTTTTTTTTTACTGGGTGTATTTACTGAGTGTAAATAAGATATGGCTTGAAATCTGACTGATTTGTTTGTGCTACTATCAAATGATCATATTCAGACATAAACAAAACCCATTTCAGAATAGGTCTGACATTGGTGCAGAGATGAGATTTCCTTTTCTCTATTGCTTATTCTGTTACCAGTATCAGAGAAGTCTTAACAAATATTTAGATTCATTACGAAATGTGCAGTAACATGTGCCAGATAAGCAATTTGTATGGCAAGGCATTTTCTTTGAGAAAAGTTTTTAGCAGAGCGATATATCTGTATCAAGACGATAGCTATGACTCTCAGTTAGCTAAAATGGTTGATCTTGGGTTGAAATCTGTTCAGTAATAAAATGTCAAAATGCCTATAACTCTTTGAGTAGGTGGAGAGGAGGAAGTGGGGGTGGAAGAGGTTAGTTAGGGCTTTAATGAGATGTTGATGGCTAGTTGTAGTTAGCACAATCCACTCAATAGATTCAAATATTAGAGAAACAAACATTTCTTAATTCATCACTGATATTGACCCTGGGAAATTTAATTTATAATTGACAATTTGACACACAGCCAATCCACAAATGCAATGAATGTGACAGCTGCATCCACACACTGGAAATGCTTATTTCTTCATTCTACATTCTACATTCTGGGGCAGAGCACAACACTTAAGAAAATGTTATTGAATCGAGTTGATAAATAGGACACAGAACTTGGACCGGTGCCCAAAGACACTGGTGTGAATTTAATTGTTGCCAAGTATTCCTCTGACCAGCTATTCCAGGTTATTCAATAATCCACCCCATTTTTATACACTGGAGACCAATTTGAGAGTAGCAGCTAATTTTGTACCTTTCCGCCAATCAGTGCTCGATGAAGCCGGCAACAATAGTCCCTAATTAATCCCCAAATCAGGTGACAATTGTATAATCAGCCCCTGAGGCCGCAATGACATTGCCAGATGATGCCACACATATTTACATCGCTCTTCATGCAGTTCTGCAACACCCATGAACAACACCCAGAAGCTGTTATTCAAAGGAGTTGAGATGTTTTCGAACAGGGTGTGTGACAGAAAATACTGTTTGGCAAACACAAAAGGAATTTGTACTTTTGCAGCACCCTATCAAGTCAAAGCATTGTAGTGTTTAATATGTAATTGTTATCAAATCTTAGATGGATGTAGCACACAAGAAAATTGTGTGTGTGCATGTGTGCATGTGTCCCCAAACATAGTCCCACAGGTGAAGTTTCCAAGAGTTGTCACTTGCCATTCTCCAGCCTGAGTCAGTATGTTTTGCTATGGTTGGAAAAGAAATGGAAAGGAAACATGGGCAAGGGAGAGGTGTCCAAAGACACGGTCGAAGAGTTAAGTTTTAAGATGGGACTTACAAACAATACAGAATTACATTTGTAAAGCCCCTTTCACGTTGGGAGGACGTCCCAAGGCTCTGGACAGTCAGGAACTTAAAAATAAAAATAGAGAGGGGATAAGACATGCGTGTAGAGGGAGGGAATTCCAGAGGTTGGGATCTAATGGCTTGATCCAATTGTGCTTTGGAATGAGCAAGGGATGTGCAGCAAGTCTGAGGTAGCCATACAGAGGATGCTCTTCTTCACATGTGAGATCCGAGATGGCTCAGTAGCTTTGACATCAAGTTTTACAGAGCAGGAATGACCAAATACTCAATCTCTGGTTTGTGCTTAATTAGTTGATCACAATCAGGACAGGACGTGTGCTCGCATTGGGGAAGACGGGCTGAATGTCCTATTCCTGTTCCTATGTTTCTAAGAGAAAAAGAAACATCAGTCACATTGTTTAGTAATTGCTGCTGAAAACTCAGGTACAACAGACATTTAGTAATCAACAGAATATTACTGCAAATGGGTAACATTATAAATAAGTTTATTTTTTGAAGGGTAACGTATTAAATAGAGATAACCCAATATTTTATTAGAGATCCAAGGTCTTTTAAAGATACAGAATCATATTGACAGGCACTGATCACATTCTGATCACGAACAGTAATGCACTTGGGCCAATGCACGTTTAATTGAGGCTGTGTTTAAGTGCTCTGAGACACCATCCAGTGTGAAGAACGCTACATAAATGCATGTTGTTGTTGTTGTGTTTGGGGTTCTGGCAACATCTCCTCACCAGATCTTTCTGCCGCATCTTCTGTTCACTGCCAATATATTTCTATTTGCTTCAATTCTGGGAAAGTACGAGGTTTATAGAAAAGGCCACCCCCTGGCAATGCGCTCCAGCTGCCTGGTTTCCTCCAGGCTTGGAATTTCTTATCAATTTATTATTATTTCTCCTTCCCTTTATTGTTTAATCTGTGGGAATTACTGCCCTTTCTTCATTTCCCACACTTGCCTTCACAACTGTACTTCATTTCCAATCACTATCATTCTGTAAATTATGTTGAGATGTTTGCATTTATATAAAAGGCAATATATGAATGTAAGTTGTTGTTACTCTTTAGCATTTTCTGCATACTCTTTAGTTTTATTTTCTTCCGTGTAAAACAAAAGTTTATTTCCCACCTCCTTTGCATTTGACATAGCTGTAGCGCCATTCATATAAAGAAGACATCTCAATGTGTTTTAAAGCATTAATTGACCATGTATTTTGTGGATGAATTTGTAAGCGTAAAAAAGTAGCTTTATACAAACAAACTAAATTTCACATGACACAGCTAACATTCACAGAAAAAATAAGTCAAAGGATTTGGAAAGCAACAGGGAGGAGAAATAATAAAACTGCATTCAATATTGCTGCAGAACCCATTTAAGTCACCAGAAACACTAAATTGGAAAGAGCTTTAACACTTTGGATCTTCCATTCAGTCCCTTATTATCTGCACAAGTAATTTATTCACTCTTCATTCATGGATATTTGATAGCTTCAATCACAACCTGAGCTTAAGCACCAGTATCAATCGGACTAGGAACATAGTACCGCCGTTTGACAAACTTTTGGCTCATGTACATGTCTCCTGACCGGAAGCACAAACTGCAGTAATGTATTATGCAGCAATACAGTACATAACCAAATCTCTGAAAGCTAATGTGTTTAACCTGTTGTATTCCTGGATGCCTTTCAGAAACCAGAGAGAATTGCAATAGAAGGACATTGCTCTCTGTGATCAATATGTGTTTGTTTGACCAGAGTACAAAGGCCTCGAACACTACAGTATAGTCTGATGCCATCTAGTGAGATTAAAGAGTATGCAGTTTCAAATGAAAGGCTTTTGCTTGGCTCCTTTCCCCTTCACAGTGCAGTCTTGTGATAACGTTTGAAATGCCCTTAAAAAAATAATAGCATTAGCAACTTATCCCATGATTTACATTGAAGTTGCCCTGTGTCCTGGTGTATGAATGCGATCCTTTATATTGTACATTCAAAAGAACAGTAGGCCTTATTTTTCTTTACAAGTTACTCCAACGCATCCTTAACTTGCCCAATTCCACTTCCTTTTTAGGTCAACTGCAGTGACATACATGATAGTGATCTTATTGTGCCCATCGCTATTAAAAGCATTGTTTGGAAGCAGGGCCAGATTGCGTGCGAGCACAAAATGTGCAGCTGTAGCCTTACTCACTTACTCAGCTGCTCCACCCCTGGTGAGCAGGGCTAGTCCTCCTTCACATTAAATTAGACAGGCACAACGGCAGTCATGATAAGTAGTCTTTGGCCAATCATTCCTTTACGAGCACAAAATGGGACGGCTTGCCTCACGTCGAAATTTATCATTATGTCGCGTGTGACATAACTTGCAACAACTTGAATTTATACAGCACTCATCACGTAACAACAACTTGCATTTTTACAGCATCCCTCATGCAGCAAAGCATCCCAGAGCGCTTAATGCCAAACCCCTGATGAAATGTACACGCCGCTCAAGTTGAAGAAAAGCTGGTCACAGGAAGACAATGCCTCTTTAATATCTTGGGCAAGGAAAAATGAGTGTTTGGGATGATTAAAAGAGGTTCTTAATTGTAAGAGTAAAGTGTCAGCGGTTTCTTTCACTGAAGCCTGAGATGAGATTATTTTCTTGGTCATTTATTTTGTAATGCACATGATGAGGTTATTCAGAACATTAAGCATTAAGCATATCTACAGTAGGAAGTCGGAATTGGGACTGACGCTTACAATCCAAACACTCACATTTATGACCATTCATGCAAGCAGCCTATCAATTGGTCAAACAAATATAAATTTAGGGAATGTTCTGGATAAGAATATGAACAAAAGTGGATCAAGATTTTACTGCATTGTAATAATACTAATCCTTGCATTTGATATAGTGCCTTATGACGTCATTGAGACATTTCAAAGCGCTTCACAGAATGCACTCTTAAAGTGTAGTGACTGTGTATTTTGTGGGCAAAATGCAGCAACCAATTGTGCACAGCCCCAATGTCCCACAAACAGTCATGAATATAGTAATGTTCAATAGGCCAGATTTCTGACTTTTAATCTTCAGTACAGTTTTATTTTTTTATTACGGAAAAGTGCATATACTTTATCAGGCTCTCTGCTCCATTATAATAGCTGATAATAGTTCTGCTAAGCCTATTCTTTACGAGTTTGATTTATAGAACTAGTGATTAATGCTTTTATTTCAGTTAAAAAATAACCATCAGAAGATTTTTATCCCTTAGGAAAGCTTTGTGACTGTACGTGCACTCTGATTTGTCCTCTCTCTCTTGCTCTTCGTTAGCGATGTTGGTTAGAGATCCTCCGTAGATATTTTGTAGTTCAGAATTACTAGTTCAGTCCAGTTCAAATCCTTGATCTAAGTTTTCAAAATGAATACGATACACGGTAGAGCAGGTTTGTCTCAGAGATATGAGTAAAATACCTCACTACTAATCTAAATAAAAAGATTTACTAAATAGTGTAGTGACTGTGATTGTAGCCAAACTGCGAAAAGAAAACTTTTTTTGAGCAAATTGGTAGCTATGCAGGTTTATCAGCTTATATCCCATCACACAGATGATACAGTTCAAGATCCTGGTCCTCACTTTCAAAGCCCTCCATGGTCTTGCTCCCCCCTACCTCTCCGAACTCCTAACCCCCTACCACCCTGTTCGCTCCCTCTGCTCAGCGGGCTCCGGTCTGCTTCACATTCCCCGCCTTGCTCACCCCACTATCAGCGGGCGGGCCTTCTGCCACTCTGCTCCGACCCTCTGGAACTCCATCCCGCAGTCCCTCCATCTCGCCCCCTCCCTCGCCACCTTCAAGACCCATCTCAAGACCATCCTCTTCGACCTTGCTTTCGATCTCCCTGCTTCCCCCCTGCCCTCCACCCTCCCCCACCCTGACCCTCAGCTCGGGTCCGTAACTCTGTCTGTCCAGCGCCTTGGGACGTCCTCCTGACGTGAAAGGCCCTATACAAATGTAATTTTGTTGTTGTTATTGTCATTATTATTATTATTATCACAATTTTTAAGGATAAACGATGATTTTTTAAAAATTCTGCCACAGATGCGTTTCATGCTGCTATTCAGCCGTCAAGGCAAACTGAGGCTGCAGAAGTGGTACAGCACAGTGCTTGAAAAGGACAAAAAAAAGATCATTCGGGAACTTGTTCAGATTGTGCTGTCTCGACAACCTAAAATGTGCAGCTTTGTGAACTGGCGAGACGTCAAAATTATTTCTAAAAGGTTTGTGCTGTCACACGTAAAATGCCCGTTTGCACATTGAAATCGTTCTTTTTAGTTCAAAATATTTGGATGTTAAAAATGCTTTTGTTGGTGTGATATATTTTTAATAGCTGCTGTTCAGAATGCAGTGTTCCGAGATGCTATCCTGCATGAAGGATGCTATATAAATATAAGGTATTCTTATTGTTTAGACCAGGACAAGGCACATTAGGACTACCTTACGTGTCAGGGCTTCAGCTTACCGTGCTTTGCAGTTAACTTACACATGAGAAGTACTGTATATACCCCACTGGATTTGGAATATTTTATTCTGGCCAGTTTATAATAAACCACAATTGTACCAGTTCTGCAGTTCTTTAAGTTATAACTAATAGGTAAATTCATGGGTTATTTATTTTGTAAGATATGCTTATATTTTATTAGTCAATATTTTATGTTTTACTGGTCAATGAAGCATAAGCAAATATTTTCCTTCACTGTTGAGATAATTTGACAATCTCACTAGATACTTTGATGCCATCATGCTTATTGTGAAATGGTACAGTCAATAAACTGAAGATAGTTAAGCTGGTGCTGTACATAAATTGACATGACACTTTTTAAAAATGTTTTTCAGGTATGCTAGTTTATATTTCTGTTGTGCGATAGAAGAGCAAGATAATGAACTTCTGACTCTGGAAATCATCCATCGTTACGTGGAGTTGCTGGACAGATACTTTGGAAATGTACGTTTTCTTCAAACATTGGCCTGGAAATCTGGAAAGAGCTATTGATGCGTCAATTTACCTCTTTGTGGTGGTTAACCACTGTTTACAGTATTCAAATTTGCATCACTGTAAAGTTCTCCTTTTTGTATCGCTTTAAAACACCGTTGGGAGACAGTATCACAGTCTGGCATGTAGCCTTCTGCAATGAATGTAATAACAAAAAACGTTGTTTCGGATCTGTTGCAGACTCGAAACTCTGACAACAGAATCTGCTAACAGCGTGTTAGATACATATCTGTATTCTAATTGGGTCAAATGCCGAAATTCACACTTCTTACCTATGGAGTCCTGGGACTGTTAATTGCGGCATGACTCATATATAAATGGATATGGAATATAAATTGTATTCTGACTGATAATAACCTCAGATTTATGCTTAGTGGTTTCCAGTAATGGAGCTATTTGTCAGACACTAATCCTTGGTCTCTATTATTCACAATTTGAGAAGACTCATGAAATAATATATTCTAATTAAGCTAATTTTTCTACTATAATGCTAATTGTACGACTATAGTAATACAAGATTGGAAGGGAAGGTCATTGGTACCTTGCACAATGTGATGACATGACTTGACAAATGAGTTTCCAATTCAAGGTAAAACCATCTGGGAGACAAGGATCAGAGACTGGGAGCTTTGCTAGAGGGAAGCAAAGTGGGAAGGGAGAGTCAATGTGAATTGCTGCCTGGATCCATGGACATATGTTTGATCGGTAGTGTATTTCCAGGATTTTCGTGATTGAATATTTCTTGATTGATGCCATCAATCAAGAAATATTCAATCGAGAAGATTAATTTTGTTGGCCGACCAAAAGCATTGGCCATTCATCACTGGACTACATCATCCAAGCACCATGTTGTCCTGAACTATTTTTATTCATTTTTTTAAAAAAACAATTCCACAAAATACACAGTTTCAAAGAAAAAAAGACAAAATTTTTGCACCGAAAGAAAATGTTTGGCAACATGCGTTTGTATTCAGGATCAACATTTTGAACACGTACCACAGAATTAATTTTATTGTATGTCCTTCCTCAAAAAAAAGTCAAAAGATATTATTTTGAAATTGCTGAATAAATAGAATTCAGAAATAACATTTTTTCAAAGTATTTTGCTTGCCAAAGTTTGGTGTAATTTGTTATAAGTGTTGGTTCCCTATAGGAAGTGACCATCTTCAAAACAGCCCCATTCCCCCCTTAAACTCTCAAAATCTAATAATATTTGTTTAAAGAGCATTAAGACTTCAATATATCCATGTTTGCATTGTTGCAAATTTGCTAAGATCAGTTAATATGCAGAAAGCTGTCACTACAAGGCCCTTATCACTGGATTTATTCTGTTGCCATAAATGTGGCCAGATTTGTCATTGCGATATATCTGTATGTGTTCTAAAGCAGTTAATAGGCAGTTCCACAGGTAACCACAGTAACAGTCAATGAGATGTGTTTCAGTGCCGTGCATTTAATAATAATCTATAACAATAATCTTTGCATTTGATATAGCGCTTTTCACGTCGGGAGGATGTCCCAAAGCGCTTCACAGAACAGACTGTAAAGTGAATTGACTGTATATTTGTGGGCGAACGCGGCAGCCAATTGCGCACAGCAATGTCCCACAAACAGTCGTAGATTGAAAATGACCAATTTATTATTGTTTTTGGTTTTGGAGGGATTATTATTAGGCTCTGTGTGGAGTAAGGAAACTTGCCCAAGGTTTCGCCCTCTGCCTGGAATTGAACTCGGGTCTCTCGCTTGCAAAGCGAGTGCTCTAACCAGGACTACAGGTCTCCACAAAGTAATAGTAATGAGATACAGGACTCCACAAAGTAATAGTAGTAAGCAGTTGATTAGAATTACGATTGAGGCTGAGCCTGAAGCACAATAAGGGATTGGATTTTGAAACACATTTCAGACTTTGGAAGATGAAGTGGTCATGTGTATCCTTTTGCAGAAACATGTGAGTGAATAATTACTCATAATGAATAGAATGGTACACACTACTTCTTTTAAGCATAGCTGTTATTTCAGGTACAAGAACAAAGGCACGCTAAACTGGAAGTCGCTTCCTCCTAATTTCAAACTCATTTTGTGCTTAGTTCCACAATTCATTAAATTGTCTCATTTGCTCATAATAAGCACTTGCCCCTGAGTCAAACACAATAGGGTGATGATTTCCTGGAATTAAGTGCAAAGCCTCAGCTACAATTCAGAGATGCTAAAGAGCTCCAGGATTGAAAATGTAAAAGAAGTTGACACTGAATTAGAGCCAGCTCATTTTATGTAATTTTATTTATCGGCTCTTGTGGGTTGTTGCTTCAGAAATATTCCTAAAATTCTGATTCTCACTCCTTCACTTCTGAAGCGCTGATTCCTGCTCGAGTACAGTTCAAACGTGATAGATAGCCTTGCGCAGGGGTGATGGACTAAACAAAACTGGGCTGGAAGGCACGTGATTGATAGCTGATGGTCATAGATTGTAAAGCAGAATTGATTTTTGGTATTGGTCGCATCGCAGTAAATGTTAGGTGTGAGTTGCTATGGTTACAAGTGATGCTGAGCGCAACGTTGCATCTTTTTGTTTTTAGCTGCCAGATTACGTTCGAATGTGATTCCATTCAGGCGGTACTGTAAGGACATGGAATGTTAAACATATTCCTGTTTCTGGCCAAACAACTTTTGATCATATGATGGAGTTATCAGCTCATGTTGTTGGAGAAACGGAAGAATAAACCAGCTTCGTCATTCCTACCTAATGGCTTATGGAAGCTTTGGCAAGAAGATGTTAATATATGTTACATTACATTAGAAAAGGTACACAACAGTAGTATGGGATAATTAGGGAAATGTGTGTAAAGTAAAATGGGATTTCCCTAAAATTATTCTATTGACTGTTTCCATTATGTCTGTACTTGGGTAGAGTGTTTCTGTTTGAAATGCAGTGAAATAAAAAGGCTCAGAATTCATGTTACAACAGGGGAGTTTTCTAACCTGATGACTTTCCCTCACACAGAGGCAGATGTGAGTAACATGCTCATGAATTGTTGTAGCGACCCATTGAAAATGAACCGTTCTGTTGTGCTTGAAGGGTATAATACCCATAATATTGTAGCAAGAATCTCAATCAGAATTAGTTTCACTCTCAAATGTAACTAATATGTTTGATTTAATAAAGATGTACACTGTTGTACTTTGGCTTTCTCCCCTTTTGCTGGTAAACAATGCTATGAATCAATAGTATTGTTTTTTTTCAAAGTCTTTTTGTTACTGATTTCAGGTGTGTGAACTAGACATCATCTTTAATTTTGAGAAGGCCTATTTCATACTAGATGAATTTCTAATGGGAGGAGAGTTGCAAGACACCTCAAAGGAAAGCATACCAAAAGCAATAGAGGAAGCAGATATGTTACAAGAGGTAAATGCAGCAACTGAGTCAGAGAAAAGTACTGTTCTCAATCATTTGTACTATTTGTTCATTCATTGTAATGTAAACTGAATGCAAGGTCTGCAACGTTCACAGCAGAGATTCCTAAACCATCAATAATAATAATAATAATAATAATAATCCTTGCATTTGTTATAGCGCTTTTCACGTCTTCTCGACGTCTTAAAGCGCTTCACAGAATATGCTGTAAAGTGAATTGACTGTATATTTGTGGGCGAAACGCAGCAGCCAATTGCGCACAGCAGTGTCCCACAAACAGTCGTGGATTGAAAATGACCAATTTATTATTGTTTTGTTTTGAAGGGATTATTATTAGGCGTGTGGAGTAAGGAAACTTGCCCAAGGTTTCGCCCTGCCTGGAAATGAACCCAGGTGTCTCGCTTGAAAGGCGAGTGCTCTAACCACTGAGCTACAGGGCTCCACAGTGCGCAATACTTTATTCTGTCTGTTTGATCTGCCACAAATTGGAAACGTTTATCATGTATATTCTTTGTTCATCTTGGACTGAAAATATTGGTGATTAAGTTTCGAAAATTAATTAAATCAGCTCAGTTATCTTTTTACCCCTCGTTACATACTCTCTGTTTCATTACGTTCTCTCTGTTTCTAGTAAGAATTCGACACATGCCCTTTTCAGCAAAAGAAAACGAAACAGATGTAAAAATACAAATCTGTTTATCTATCTCATTGCAACATGAGTGATTTGAGAATAGGATCTATGTCTCTGTATCTCTGAGAAAATAAACCCCAGCATTGGAATACTGTGCAGTAAATTGTTCCATTATGTTACTTATTCTACAGCCATTTTATTTTGATTATTTGTATTCTCCTGGCAATGCAGTGGAGGCTATTTCAGTTACCATGACAATTCCTTCCATGAAGAATGGCACATTAAATACACCACAGACTTGCAGTTCCTGTATCAAGTCTGTCTTTCATTATTTCATTCTCATATAACTGATATTTTGAATGATATCAATAAACCTATATAGTTTTAGTTATAGATAGTTTTATCTCTAAAATCTTGATTTTCTTTTGTGATGTTTGGTTATTCAAACTAACAGTGTGGCATGTTTGTTACAGACAATGGAAGAATATATGTCTAAGCCCACATTTTAACCTGGGCATTACTCTCCTGGAAGAAGGTGGACTAAACATGTGGATAAGGACTTGCAGTGGCTACCAATTGCCAGAATAGAAGTGTATAATATCTTGTTGCAGTGTCTTATTGTGGAAGAAAACATATAATAGGTGGTGCTCTATGGAGTGGTGAGTTTAGTGCGCTTTGACAAAGTGCACTTTTAACAAAATTCTCATTCTAAGAGCTTTTAATCACAAAACTTATCACCAGTGAAACCTCTCCCCCCCCTCCCCCACCGACTACATGAAGTGCAATGTTGTTACCGAATTAGCACTGTGCAATGTTCAGACATCAAATCTAGTTTCATAACATTTTATACAAACAGTTTCTGTGTTGATTTCAGTTTGCTTTTTTGTAAGCCTGAAAATATCATAACGATGTATAACCTACTAATTAATTTTTTTCCCCCTAAATTTTTGATCAAATTTAAAATCTACATTCTTGCAAATCAAACTAACTGAATACGCTATGTTGTCTGTGTTACTCATGCATGTTGTATTTTCTGAAAAATGTAGATTTTTGTACCGTTAAATCCAATCTGAAGGCCACTTCTATCAGCAAATCATCGATAGCGATTTGCTCATCTCAGGTATAAGGTTGGAGTAGTTGTTTTAGTATCTTTACAAAAAATCTTGAAATGCAGTTAGCATGCATCAATTTATTCTGAGGAATAGATATTCTTAACTGAAATAGGGCTTTTGCAATTTCAAAGTGTCCTTATAAAAGGGTAAAACTGTTAGGACATGACATTAATAAAAATGAAGTTATTATTTGAATGTTGATTTAGTCAAGTCTGATATCTGATTTTGAATCTAACCCTTTTGCACTTCTGAAGTTCAAATTGCTCCAGAGTACCCATTCCTCAACAACTTCCAATTGACATTTGATATTTCAATTTGATTTGATATTTTGCTTTCAAAATACACAGCCACTAACTACACTTTACAGTAAATTCTGTGAAGCGTTTTGAGATGTCCTCCTGACAATATCAGTTGCAAGTATTATTTTTATTATAAACGATTTCAATTTTGAAATGGGTCTGAGTCAATTTTGAGTTCAGGAAGTTTAGTTCTAGGTAGATAGTTTCAATGGATTTCCCGCCATGAAGGATTACAGTGAATGGCTGGGTCTGTGTTTCAGTCACTTGTACAAACAGTTTTCTTTTCTGTCCCCCAAATACTCCTGCACATACATTGATGCCATCAGCCTTTACCAGGAACACTTAAACTTGAAATAAAATAAACTCATGCTGTTGACTATGAAGGGTTCTTTGCCCCCAAAATCGTCTGTTGTCAGAGTAATACACTTCCTTATAGTTTCACTTGGTTATTTTGGGAGTCAGTGAATATCTATGAAAATATTTCCCTCGAAATTAATGGGTGTGGTTGTTTCCCTGTTCTTTTTTGACATTTATTAAATATGCAGTAAATACTGTACTGGGGAATCTAATTTGTTCCCCATAGTAAGTTTCTGCAGATTTAAGCAAAACTTGTTTGGATTCATAATGTTGATTTACTGCAACTTGTACAATTAAATGAAAGGTTGGTATTAAAACGAGAACAAAGAGAAGAAAATATGGAGGTTATTAAAGTTTAAGTTATTAAAAAATGAATCAGCGGTCAGAAAAGATTTTTTGTCACACGTAATTATGCAATGGATTGTAGAAGAGAGCGAGGTAGATGTCCTTGATTTGTAAGCTGAACTTGGCCACATTTTTTTTCAACTCCCCAGGAAGTCATGCAATTAGGTAGGTGTGCTCTATTTATCAACACGTTGGCTGACCCTTCAGCACCTGTAGCTCTCAGACTGCAATTATGCTGCCAGTTCCATATTGCTCTCATGCCTGAGGTAGGTGGCGCATTTAATGATGCAAACTTGCAGTGTTATAAAAGCTGATAATGGTGCCAAATCTGCAGTGGAGCTGGAACATTTATTTTAGCTTGATGTGACACTGGGTGGCCAAATTGTCACACATCTTTCTAATAGGCTTCAATTAAACTTTGTCAACTGATATTCTTTCTCATGTTCTGATGATTCGAGTAAAGTTGCTGTTTCCAAACCTCAAAGAATATTTGGGACCCTGATAGATATAGCAATGCACACATTCTGCAAAAGTGAATTACAGTGAGTGGGTCTTAGATCCTGAATCAGTTTAAATAGAAATGATGACATTCCAACACTTTACAGGGAGTCTGTTTGAATTCCTCTGAAGTAGAAAATGGCTGAGATGTTTGTTCAATAGACGAAAAAATCACTCTGCTCTTGAAAATACAACAAAGCTGAAATAACACATGCTGAACTTGGAAAATGACATGTTTGATTTTGAGAACGATACTGTAACTGCCGGGTTCTCAAGTCTAGTTATATTCCTCCTGTAGCCCAAGAATTGCTCAATTAATACTGCCCAAAGTTGTTTCTGTCAGTGTAGCTGATAAAGGTAAGTAAATGACACCAAATCACACAATTTGTTTTGCAGCCTCCGCCTGTTCTTCCTTCAAGAATGGTAACTATTTTATGGCCATTACTCTGCGAGTGCATCAGAAACCTTAGGCAGAAGAAAACAAGTGAAGCCTTTTGGCTCGCTAATCTTGGCTCTATTAATGGACTTTCAAGCTGTGTTACTTGTAATGATTTTCATTTTCTATTCCTATTCCCCACAGCACAGCCCAAGCTTTCCATTGTGTATGCTTCACTTCATCCCTTTCAACCAGATTCATCCAAAGCCCCCAGGCTCACCTCCCTTTATGAACCATTAGACCATCCTGTGATGAGGGCAGTGAATATATTCTCTAGCCGTGGCCTGCAGGAAGAATACTATTTTTCATCCCGTGCAATATTAATGCAATTTTTAAAAATAATCTTCGTATACCACAAAAAATGACTTTACTTTTTGATCTGATCCAATTATTGGTGGGTTCTTATAGGAATCCCAGATAGGCAATACTACATGGCTATCTGATACCTTATCCATCAAGATACCTGGTGGTATTAGCAGTTGTTAGGCACGAACTTCATTTAATCTGATGGTGTTTTGAAATTAGGGCAGAATTCTGATGCCAGGTCACGGTAATAATCCATGTGTATCTACACAAGGATTAGACAAAATGGAAAAACCTGCTTAGTATATTCTCTCCATCCATGCTTAACTCCTAATTGTTAGAGGGGAATCATATTGTATGGTTGAGATCATGTTACTTCCACGTTTGGGATTGTAAGATGCTAAAAGGCTTCTGGATCACTGAATTTACAATTTAATGGAGACAGTCTATCAACTATTTTAGACATTGACTATTTGGGGTGGCTGGCCTCTGGTCACTCAACAGGCGGAGTTGAGTGTTGCGAAATTCATTGCGAAATACTACTGGCTTACCTTCAGCTGATTCCGCTTCCAAATCTTTCACTGGTGTTTCACAGTGAGATCAGGTCCCTGACTTCTTTATAAGTTGCAACTGACTCTTAATTGCATTTCAGCTCTTTAAAGTTTGTGACTTCATTTGTATGATGTAAATATACTATAGTGCTATATAATTCTGTGCTCTCACTGGGGTGATGTTTCTTAAAGGATTTTTAAGAACAAAAACTTGAACAGCAATATTCCCCTGGTTTGCAGTGAGAGCAGTTTATTCAGAAAAGTATGGAAAAATATTATGCGACCGCCACTAAATGGCTAACATTCAGTTTTCTATTTTTATGTTCTCCTCTGTGCCTCTTAAGGACCGGACTCATGTGGAGCACTTCCATGGCATTGATCATTCACCATCTGGTATCTCTCTCTCCCAAAGTAGCATTCTCCATCTGTGAGCCCAGATAGGGAGAGGCTGCATAACAAGGGAGGGCACCACAGCCTGACCCGATAATCACAGGAAGCAAATTTCCCAGCAGTTAGTAAGGGAAACACTGGTGGATATTTTTCCCTATTAACCCGGGCTTTTGAAGTCAATTGTACCATCTCAGCACCTACTGTTTCACACAAACTGATCCATTGGAAAAATCTTAGTTGCAGTTTTAAGGGGGCTGATGTGAAATGAGGAAAACATTGTGAGTTGCAATTCCTGGATTGTTTTCAAAACCTATTTAAAAATCTATCTATTTGAATAGGTTTTAACCACCCCCATCTCCCTCCCACCTGAGGCTCCTATTCAACATTTATAAATAAAGTTGAGACCTAGGTGAAATGCTCAATATAATTTTTATATTATTATAAGTAATACAATAAATCATTCAATGTGTACATGAAATAATGGGTATCAGTAAAATCAAATGGCTCGCTCTCATCATGTGCTATTTACATGAGAGATTAAAAAAGCACCTTAAATTTATTGACAATTTTATTAAAAGGAAAGTAATTTCTGAAGAACGGCTACACCAGAACAAAATAACATTCAGTTTAATGCTTCCACTTTATTTTCTTGTCATAGCTTTTCACAAGAATTCATAAGACAATAATGAACTTATTTTCGTCAATTAAGAAAATGTAGTTTCTTCAGTGAAACTGATGATAGCCGACGGCATGTTTAACGAATCATTCACAGCACACAAACGGCAAATCAATGATTATTTCAAAGCAAAGAACCGTTTGACAAATTTCGATATTAAACATCTTTTTTAAAACCGCTTCAACATGAAAAGTAAAATATTGTTTTCCAGGGGGCATTCACATTTAAAAGTGAGATCCACAGAGGAAAAATTCATGACAAAAGACTGATAACTACAGTATATGCCACACACAATAAACACTTATTTTTTTTACATCTGAATGTAACTGACCATTATGATACTTATAGAAATTTCAAACAAGTAATAATGCATTCTAATCATCAGTAGACAAACTACAATTTTGTTTTCTGTTCACAGATACAAATAAACCTTTGATTTGAATCAACTCCATTTAGTCAACTTAGTAGATCATTTATTTATCTATATAGCGATCTCTGTCATCAATGGCCGCATTCTGTTGATTGATTATTTCCGCCAATTTAAGTATCAAGTTAGAAGGATCTTCAGGACTCTGTTGTCTTTGTGGGATGTAGTTATTATCATTGCCCGTGAAACTTGAGAGTGAATTGATCATTGACATAATCTCTGCAGCCTTTTCGGAGTCTACCTTGCGCAAGAGCTCTTTGATGGGATCTTGAGAGTTGTCTCTCTCGTTCTGGTAGATGTCAGATGAAGAAGGCATTCTGACGCGCTTGAGGTCGATTGCGTTCAGCAGCTTGGGATTCTTGGCTAGCAGCCTTTCCAGGTATCTCGCCAGCTCTTCGTCATAAAGATTGACATCATCGTAGTCGGCTTGTCCTCTGTCCAGACCATCAGTGAACCTCAGTGGTTTGGGAATGCGGTTATCTTTAAACCCATCAAGTGGGCCACGCATCCTGGGCAGAACATTTTCCGACTGATCAGCCTTTGTTAAGTAGCCTGGTTTCTCATACATCTTATCATCCATGCCCAGGACATTCAAGATGTCTTCTGTTGTGAGATTCTCATTCATGTTGTAGTCTGGGACGGCATGGGTCCTGCTGTAACTCTCTCTGAACATCCTGCCTTCACGATCTGGGTGAGCTTTCCAGACTCTTGCCACGTTCTGGGGAATGGCACCTTCCTCCTCTGCCAGGAATGGCATCTCTGCTTGCTTCTGCTTGGCATCTTTCAACATCTCAATGATATCGTCCGGGGGGATCTGCAACTTGCTGGACAGTTCAATCAGCTGATCCACCATCTGTGGGTTCATTTCATCTTCAGACCCTTCAAACCTTTTTGTCGCCATTTTCTCCTTGTCCACGTTGGTGTCTTGATTTCTCGCTTGACCTCGTTTGGCCTGTCCCTCTTGCATGCGTTTGTAATATTGCAACATTAAATCTACAGCAGCATCGGACATTTGCTCTTGATTTTCCTTCTCCATCAATGCTTTTTCTTGGGAATCCAACCGATTCAAGCCCATCTCGTTGAAACCAGCTAACGATTTCTTCGCGTTGTCTTCTGTCTCTTCGGAATCGTTGTCGACCTCTGTTTCATCGTCTCGAAATTGCAGTTCCTTTTGCTGGTGCCTGTTCTTGACTTCAACCGAGTTCCACTCTTCTCCCCCCGCTACATCGTCATAGGCCATGTCATTGCCCCTGGAGTTTTCCTCATCTTCCTCCTCCACTTTGCCAAAACGATCTTCCTCCAGTCTCCCCCTTTGCTTTTTGTAGGCGCCCGTGTATTTTCCCAGTTCCTGGAATGCAGACTCCAGGGTCGCTAGGCTCTGGGGGGTGTATTGCTCTTCCACAATTTCGTTGGTCCGTTTGTAGGGATTAATCGGATACATTTCCTCCGGAAAGGAGATGTAATGCTTCCTCGGTAGCCTACCTCTCCGTCCGCTTTCGGGCAATGGGTATCCATCATAGTCTTGCTGGTTGCCTTCAAGATCAATTGTCTCTTCCTCCGGTTGCTGGTACTGTTTGCGCAAACTGTAATATTTATCGTTGGTCCTAGACGCACTCGCTTTCTGGCTTTCTGTTTGCCTCAAGGCTGACAGCAAAAGTTTGGCCCATTCAGCCCTGTCATCATCTAGAGATCCCCTGGTGTCATCTGTTTGCTGGTTCTCCTGATCTGCTTCCTCCGCATTTGATGTATAGAGAGGTGTCCCTTGAAATGGGTTGAATCTGACTCTACCATCGTATTCCGGGATGGCTTTGCCTTCGCCGTTTTGCCTCCTTAGATTCTCAATGAATTCCAAGGCTTTGATCATATCTGGGTTGGGGGGCTCGTAAGTCAGAGGGTATTTGCTCTCTTTGTAGACATTGGGATCGTACTCGCGAAGCCCCAACGAAACGGCGTGGATGCAATAGGAATGGACCAGGATGACGAGGGTTAATATCGTTCCACTTGAAACAGCCTTTAGAAACGCCATCTTTACACTGTTGCCTGGAGCTGGCGAGAGAATAAATAACAAAAAAAACAGCACAGTCCATTACATGAAAGCATTCTGCTCAATTGCAACAGTCAATGTCAATGTGGGCAGTGCAAGACAATTCGATGCAATGAATGAAATGATTGCCTGGTCCTTTCTCACTGGGACTCACTCACTCACTCACTCACTCACTCACTCACTCACTCACTCACTCACTCACTCACTCACTCACTCACTCACTCACTCACTCACTCACTCACTCACTGCTGTACATCACTGAACATCACCTCAAATGATCACCGACAAACAATGGCTAATTCTCAAAACCCAACCCTTTTCCCCCTGTTTTCTTCCCCTGGAAAGGTTTGTAGCATTAGAGGGGGGAAAAAATACGACTCAATCGTTGCATTTGAACCTGAGTCACACGCCTTCGATGTACTTGAAATCCAGATTTTGTTTCTGAGAAGTATTTTATGAATGCAAAGGGGGAAAAAAAAAAAAATGGTTAGTAATTCCTGGGATACCCAACGCACAACACAGAACGCAGAGCTGCACTGTGCACAAGCAATAAGGTATATTTTTTCCTCGTTTGTCTTCTTGAACATTTTCACCGCATTTGACTCTAATTTCTATGGAGTGGAACCATTAAAAGGGATCTAATACATTGTTTTTTTTAAAAAAAACCACAGGCTCTTCAAGCTCTGAAAATCTGCTGTATTTGTTGCCAAGGAAACATACAATTAATTCATTTCTCTGGCGACTCACCACCATTTAACCGCCTGAGAGGAACAGCATTTTGTTCTGGAAAATCACAGAATGATACCCAGAGGATTAACTAAACCATTACAGAAGTGCACATCTGTTTATATATATATATATATATAACTGTATATGCATTATATATATTGTATGTATATATACACACACATTGCTATAATCAAGTGCAAGGATTATACCATAAAATACACATCAAATATATATTATATACATATATAAAGTCCTGGAAAGTCAGCTTCAGTGCACATCACTCACTGAAAGCAACTGTGTGGGGGTCAGTGCGCTGTGCGCAATTTCAAATGCTAAAAGAAAATTACATTGTGAACATGTCAAGCGCTTTGAGACGTCTGACCGACGTGTTAAAGGCTCTGTGTCGAATGCAAAGATGATGAGGATTATTATTATTATTATTATTATTTAACAGTAAATCAGTAAAACGCTTTTACTTTCTCAACTTGGTCAGGTGGCTCAGACCAGACGTATTGTTCAGTTGGTCAACAACCCTCTCAATAGGAATATATATAGATATTTTTTTTTAACACCAAAAAAAAAATCAGATTTGATCAGCGACGTTGAAAGAACTCAAACCCACTCGTTTACTCGTGAGATGACTGTACAATGCAATGCACAATGGGACTGTACAATGCAATGCATCCAAGAGACCCCCCAAATGCAGCGACAGACCCTGGGTCTAGAGCGCATCAGGTTGTCATCAGTGTGTGGGGGGGGGTCACACACACACACACACACACACACACACACACACACACACACACACACACACACACACACACACACACAACAGCACCAGCCACAGGAGGGACCAGACAACAAATGGTTTTCCTCTCCTCTCCTCTCCTTAGCGTTTGTTTGTGTCCTCATTTATTTAAAAAAAGGCTAAAGCTTACCTGCGATTCAAGTTCAGCAGAAACCTGATGGGAAAAGCAGCATCTCCCCCACCCACCCACCCACACACCCCCTGTGCTGTGTGAGTGCTGTGTGTGTGTGAGTGCTCTGTGCTGTGTGAGTGCTGTGTGAGTGAGAGTCAGGGACTAAGGTTTCAGCACCAGGACAGCTCCCACTATATAAAGCGGCCCCGCACCCGGACAGCACCACCTGACACAGCGTCAGACAGCACTGACGACACCACAAACCTTATCACTGAAAAATACGCAGCATCCATTCCTCCATCCTCCCCCCCCCCCCCCAACCCCCACCCCAAAACACAAAGCCAGCCAGAGGGATGCTCACGACTGATTACAAACGTCTAAGATCAATCACTTACTTACTTACTTACTTCAGATGGACTCGGGCTATTTAATAGATCTTTGCTGCAGTGTTCCTGTATATTGGCTATATGTTACAAAATTGGCCACCACCACCATCTCCACCACAACAACAACAGCAACACCAACTAGCATTTGTATAGCCACTGTGTGCCAAGGCGCTGGACAGTCAGGGATTTGGACCCGAGCTGGGAGTTTTGGATCAGGTTGTGTGTGTGTGTGTGTGTGTGCGTGTGCGTGTGCGTGTGGAGGACAGGGAGGGTAGGGGTAGGAGGGTGGCCAAAGGCTCGGTCGAAGAGGAGGGTCTTGAGACGTGCCTGGAAGGGAGACAAGGGAGGGAGCGCGGCGAAGGGACTGTGGGATGGAATTCCAAAGAGCAAGCTTTGCTTTAAATAAGAAGGGCGAGCGTAAGAAAAAGATACTCTCCGATTAAGATTTATGACTCTCCATCGCAAAATGTTAAGTGCACCTTTAGACTGTTAGCAATAACCCATCGTTTTAGTTCACAAAAGCGGAATCACAAAGAACATCTTGGCTTCTCCTTCCCCACTGGAGTAATCTAGTTTCAATTTATTTATACAATCCATAACCATATGGACTAGTTAGGATCGGAACTATTCATAATTTATCAGTGCTGCACTTTGCTCAAAGAGTACAGCATTAAGTCGCTATCCAGCTTTGTGACATATAATTAGACATTTATGGACAGTAATACATCCAGTGGTCAAAAACTGTACACCTTTAGGATTATTTTTTCTAATCTGTTACATGTGTCCAACTCCAAGTCTTTATTCAAGTAGAAGACAAGCAGAAGATTTGTCCAAGTCTTTATTCAAGTTGGTGGTCTTCTATTGACTCACTGAGTCATTCAATATTTGCATAATACGAGGAAAAGAGGAATGGTTAAATCGAATGTAGGACAAGTGAAATTGTAAATTTATGGAAGAAATCTGAAACAGTGCCCTCTCTAGGATACCTTGGCAAATACAAGTAGCAGTATCAAGTAAATGTTTTCACTTGTAAAAATATGCACCGATTAGAAATGATTTGCGGTGTCTGACCAATGTCAGGAACAGCACAAATATCCAAGCTACCATGCTTTGACAGATGTGTTCCAGCTACTGGTGTGAGATAGAGCTAAACTTGCATGAATGCTACAAACTGTTCTTTGGATGATCTTTATATCTAGTGATGCATTTAAGAGCCATATAAACCTAAAACCATTAGAGTACGTTGCATGTTATTAGGAGGGTGTTTAATATATTAATGAATAATCAATAAATAATGTTATTCAGTGGTACATTGGAGACTTATTCAGACTTGTAATGGAAGATTACTATGCCTTGCCATTACTTGCCAATTGGGAATGCTGTTAGGCTTTTTCCACCAATAAAGCACTGATGTTTGCTCAGCTGGATGTGAATTGATCAGCCGAATCCAAACAGTTGCAATTTTGGCCTGTGACACGTCTCATGGTAGCATTTACACTTAAACATTTTTGTTGGAATATATGACGGCTAATTGATTAGAGAATATCCTAACCTTCAATGTAAGGAATCCTAATGAGAGGTGATTGTAATCATAATAATAATAATAATCCTTGCATTTGATATAGCGCTTTTCACGTCGGGAGGACGTCCCAAAGCGCTTCACAGAACACACTGTAAAGTGAATTGACTGTATATTTGTGGGCGAACGCGGCAGCCAATTGCGCACAGCAATGTCCCACAAACAGTCGTAGATTGAAAATGACCAATTTATTATTGTTTTGTTTTTTGGAGGGATTATTATTAGGCGTGTGGAGTAAGGAAACTTGCCCAAGGTTTCGCCCTGACTGGAATTGAACTCAGGTCTCTCACTTGCAAAGATCATATGCAGCTTTCTCATCAAATCTGTAAAATCTGGTGATTAACAGAATGTGAAACTCTGTTTTCACATTCTATAATCACCAATTACCATGATAAAAGTAAACCTAATACATGCAAATTCTCAAAGGAAAAATAGTTTGAGTTATTGAATTATGGGGTGTTATTGACTTTGTGGACTTTTACCCATGAACCATTTAAACAATTAGAAATCAAAATCTACATAAAGTCTTTTTATCTAGGACTTTAATGTGTTTAGACAACTTGGAGTAGCCTTGCTCCTATCAGTTCAACAATGTTCATTCACAATTTATCCTGTGAAGTGTTTTGAAATGCAATTATTATATTTTGTTATTATTAATGTGGAGCAGAAAACCTGAGTTGTATACCATCGCCAACACCGACAAGAATTTGGACTTTATATAGGATAAAGTCTTGAAGCACTTTACAAAGCCCACTCTACATTTCACCAGAGTCTTAAAAACAAACACCCAGTTTAGTGAATCTGCACAGAAGCCAGTTAACACGGAATGGCCTTAGGAGCCCAAGAACAGTGCGATTATCACTTTTCATGTTTATCGATGCTGATACATGGAGCCAGGAACAGAGCTCCAGCACAAATTATGCTCTCTGGTTTGCAATTTATACTATGGCCAAATTGATGCTCAGTGTGCAACACAAACACATTACAGCCACTGGGGAGAATATTTTTATCCCATTAACATCGAAGTTCTGAAGGAGATAAAATAACAACGGTTTTCTCACTTGAAGCAAGTAGTTATCTACAAGTGCAATTTTTTTTTTATCTGTGAGGTGTTATAGTATTTCTGTTAAATAATTGTTCAGGATTGTCTGTTTTTTTACCAAATTTCTTGTGTATTATAAAAATAATATACGTTGGTACAAGAATGAATTATGCTAAATAATCCACTAGTGAGGTATCTGTAGTACTCAAGGGTTATATAGACTGTTCCACCAGATGGTTTATTTTCCACAGTTCATTGTTCAATAATGCATTTCCTCTGTACACTCCTCATATTGAAGCTTGGAATGACATTGTGGCCACTTCTGGGAAATTATACAATTCTCACAGTGCTATGTGAATTATCCATTCAATTTATCACATTTAAGACTTCATCCCTAAATTCCTGAACGCAGAAAATGTTTTGGAGATTTCACTTTTGCTAGTTTCATTTATTCCAGTTACTTGTGTAGAATCAAGGATAAGAAGACCTAAAATAAATAATAAATAATAATAATATATTCCTTGCATTTGATTCGGCGCTTTTCACGTCTTCGAGGCGTCTCAAGCGCTTCACAGAATATACTGTAAAGTGAATTGACTGTATATTTGTGGGTGAAACGCGGCAGCCAATTGTGCACAGCAGCGTCCCACAAACAATCGTGGATTGAAGTGACCAATTTATTATTTTTTTCTTGAGGGGTTATTATCAGGTGATTTGGAGTAAGGAAACTTGCCCAAGGTTTTGCCCTGCCGGGGATCGAACCAAATCTTTCGCTTGCGAGGTGAGTGCTCTAACCACTGAGCTACAGGACACCACTTTGTAAAATACTTGTGAATGAATATCTGACTTGTTTTAAGCACCTGGGACATGAGTAAACAATTTCATTCTTGAATTCCACTTCTGTAAATGTCTCTTATGTTAATTAGATTGTGCACTCCATGCATTTACTGTTAAAAGGTTGGTGCTTCCAAGCATGCTGTTAAATATATAACAAAGCTCAGTACAGCTTTTATATTAGTACTGTAATACTAATGGGAATTAAATCATATATCCTGCTTTTCCATTGTTCCAATTCATATTACAAGACATTTTCATCTGCTTTTCTGACGAATTACCTGTTAAGAAAATCAGCAAAATGAGTTGTTTCATTCATAAAGTTGTTATACACAAATTGGATGACAGCTAATAGTGACATGTGATAGATATTCCTATTTGCAATTTTTTATGAACTAGCCTTACGAACCTTGTTTGGATATAATTATCAAATCTATGCCATATTTTCTATGTTTTGTTGGTTAGACTATTTTGTCTAGCATTCTACATCGCTGTTTTAAAATCTCCAGTGTCTTTCATCAGGTCAGTTGGCATGTTTGCTCTGCCAGAATTTTCAACCCCCACGTATTTCATAACACAAATGTCAAGTGCTGTGGATCACTTTAGAATTGAACTCTTAGAAGTCAGTTTTGATTGCATTGACAATTCTTTGGTATTTGGGAGTTTTGCTATCTGGCAAACATACAGTAATTTAAAAAATAAACTCTCATTACTAAGTATCTTTTGGTGTCATTATTTAGCAAATAGCACAGAATTTAATGACAACAAACTAAATTACGCATTCAAGAGTTTAAATATTGGCATAAACTGTAAGAGCAATGTTTGAACACTTCAATAAAAGTGATATCAACCCTGCTTTGAGACATCTCGAAGACGTGATAAGGCACTATATCAAATGCAAGGATTATTATTATTATCTGGTGGTGAGGTGGCTGGTTTGTTACGATTTAGTTCAGTTGTTTTTCAGCAACGAGTATCATTTCAGACCATGACAGATGGGAAACTTTTATGCATGAATGATAATTTGGCCTCCAGTTATATTTTACCGAGCGATTTAAACTGAACTGTTATTGGATTTCATTTCAGCAAGTTACAGGAAAGTAGCTACACTTATATACTATAAAATATGTCTGCAGTGGAGCAGTTTAGAAACTGGCCTTCAGAATGTTGAATCTCAAATTGTTAGCTCTTTGGGATGAGCCCTGGTGTAAAAAATGACTGATCCATCAATTAACATGGCCGTC